AATAAAATTTACTAGTTGAAAATAGTATTGAGACATGCTTGTAGTTACCAAAATATCTGGCTTCGTCGGATGCAAATTTTATCGGAAAGAAAAGTATAATTTTAAGACAAGACAATTCCGCTTTTTGATAATATATCTTTATTTTTACTATCTTATCGCCGTATTCGTGTACATTCTGAGCCATTATGTGTTAAGTAGCAGATAAGACAACAAAAAAGAAATATAGCAAATACGTATTTCATGACATCTTTGAGGTGTAAAGTGAAATTAGAAGAGAAGAATGAGATAAATTTTAATCTAAATTTACTTTGTATGCTTCAATGTATTGTCATGTCTTATTTAAGCAGCTGACATTTTATAACTCCTACTATTTTTTTAATTTTATTTTATAGTAGTAGGAATGAGTATGTTTTAATTTTTCATATTAAAATGTTAATTTTTAAAAAGTGAATGGCCTATATTTTAGTTTTCATGAAGATTTATAAACAGAAATCTTTGATTTAATATTACTGTGTCCGCTGTAGTAAAAACACATTTATATCAGCACATTTAAAATGAATAATACTTATTCTAAATTTTAAAATAAGAATGAGTTACGCTTGCAGGTGTTAGAAAAAGTTCAGCATTACATTGGTACTGAGTTTAGGAAAGTATCTGTGTATATTTCGAGAGAACCTGATGCACATCTTTTCTGAGCCAAAAAATATTCAGTACAATATCTGTCTCTCTCTCTTAGTAGTTTTTTTTTTAAAGACCAAAGGGCCAATTTGCCCTGAAGGACTATTAATAATTTTGTTTTGGCATTTTGCGTCGAAAACTTTAAAAGGTTGCATCACTTTTCAAATCGTTGCCACCATATATTAACGCTCTGTCTTAAAGAAATTAAATAATGAAGAATCTGCATAAATATATGTATGTTTCTCGCATTGTGATAAAAACAACGGTACCTAGAGCCATCAAAATTTCAATAACGTAATCTTCCATAGAATATGGGCGTGTGAAAGCCCTAATTTGAATTCTAAAATTTGTTTTATTATCGATTTCATATTTTGTAACACTTCAACGAATTTTTGATTAAAAAACTAAACGATTTCAAAGCGAGCAATGGCAATCCTGTACAAAAAAAAAAAACATCTTTACCTCCAGCGCGCGAGACTCTGTATCGGAAATTCTAAAGATAAACTCATTTTAAAATTAATTTGTGATATTGCTGTTGAACTGAATTTAATAGTTTGAGTACTTAGAACGTGATATTTAATAAATAAAGGTAACACACAAAACGTTAAAAAACGCTCCTTTGGAAGTAATTTAAAATCCGAAACCTTTAAGATTTTTTTTTTTTTTTTTTTGTATTTAATTTGTTTTTGGTGCGAGTATTTTTTACGTGTGTATGTGTGCGAGTAAAAGGGGTGTTATCACCGGAGGGCTCGAACTCAATGTCCAACCTCCATTGAAACTGATTGATTTTTATGAAATATTGTACGGTCTGAATAATTGTCGATTATAAAGAGTTACTTGAGAATTAAACGGCGTCTAAGGACATCGTTGCGCGCATAAAATTTAACAGGTGGTGATAAGCTAATGACATGAGGTTACCACTAAAAGTTCCTTCAGTACAAATCAAAACACATTTTTACATAAGCAAGTGAAACAATTTTAGGCAACATTTTACAAAATGCTTTAACACGGGAGCAATAAGAAATGTTACAAAATTTGTATAGTGCAGGAAATAAAATACAGAAATATAATGAATTATTTACAAATTGTTACTTAAGATGGCCACTGGTCGCTTCACATGTTACGAGAATTCATAATTATGGATAGGATTGATGTTATTCTTTGAGTTCCTAAATATTGATGTTATTCTTTGAGATTCTAATGGAAACTGTGCGCCTAAGTGATGGAAGTAGGCACGAAATTGTGCTATTCCCAATTTTTCATGGATTATTATATCATTCCTGACAAACCACAGAGAGCAAGCGGTTTGTATGAGGCTGCAGTTTTGCAGTCTCAAGTTGCTTTCGGTTGGTTTTGCAAGCGTATACCCAAACAGGGCAGGCTAACTGAGCATGGCATGCAATATGGTTTTGTATATGTGTAACATATCTAGAGATAAAACGCGGTTTCGGGCAATTAAGGGGAAAAGTTTAGCTTGACGGAAATTCCGGGTAATGGATTGTACGTTTGGTGACCATGTTAGATTTTTTTCGAGGATTACCCCGAGATAGGTGACACGCCTAGCGCAGGGCAAGAAGGAATTATGCAGTTTTATATTTCCATCAATCCTCCTTTTCCTTGTGAAGAGAACAGCTGGAGATTTGTCGACATTGATTTCCATTTTCCATCTAACTAGCCTAATCTGAAGTGCTTGGATGTGGTTTTGTAATGCTTGTAATATCGAACAAGTGAGGATTGCAGTGTCATCAACGTAAAGTGCTAATATAGTATCAGCTTTCTGTGAAGTGTCGTTCACTTACAAATTGAAAAGTATAGGCACTAGGCGTGATACCTGGGATACACCCGCTAGGATAGCACGATAGAACGGTGGGAGAAGTATGTGTTTGAGATGCGAACGACGAAGTATCTACCTGTTAAGTAAGATTTATTGATATTCGTGACGTCCCTTCGAAAACCCAGGGTGAGAAATTTGCGAATGAGGCAGTCCAGTCAGATACTATCCAAATCTTTGGCTATGTCCAGGAAGAGTCTCACTGTAAACGTTTTCTGTTGAAGGTCTTCAACAATGTGCTGAACTATTTGATAGAACTGATGTATAGTGGAAAGGCAGCGGCGTAAACCCAATTGATGCTGAACTATCAGATTTTTTTCTTAAGTTTATGAAAGTTAGTTAAGTTAAGTTTTTATGAGTTTATTCTCGATAGAATTGCAGCTTCAAGGATCTTGCTTACTGCATATAGCAGGCTTATGAACGATAGTAGGTGAAGCAGGAGGCTTGTTCGGTTTCAGGATCGGTATAATTAGTGCTGTTTTCCATGGTGACGGGAAAATGCTCATATTTCAAGAGTAATGATTTTAATAAGGAAGAAAACTGTCTCAAGGAGCCGATATAGTGGTTAGTAACCCTAACTACTGTAGCGATGGGCATGGTTTCGAATCCCAAAGGAGGCATGGTTGTAACTGTCCGTCCCTTCATATTGAGGCAATGACCACCTTTTAGGTGTTTCTACAATGAAATGGGCACCCCTTCCGGCCATTGTAGTGACGCAAGGCTAATGCCTATTAAACTAAGGGTCCTGCCATTTAAAAAAAGAACTTCTTAATAATCTTGTTTGTAACTTCTCTTAATCCTGAGTTTTTCTTCTTCTTAATTTTCTTGATGTAGCCAGAGACTTCCGATGGGAATACTGGAATAATGTTGTTCGCATGTGGGTTTCTCACGAACTGATGTATAGTGTCTGATACTTTGTTTTATGTCTGGTCATCTTGGATGCGAAACTGAGACTCCAGATGCGAAGCTAAAAGTTCTGTCTTCTCAGTTTCGGTGACCTGGATCCTCGTTGCGCCTTTGAGGGGCAGAATAGCTTTTCGTGAGATGCGCCACAGCACGCCACATGGAACTATCAACCTCAGTGGGAGAACTTATATTAACTGTTCAGCGATGTTCTTCCTGTGAGTTAGAAAGAGACCTAATTGCACAATGAAGTGTATTGAAGTTTGTACTCCCCCCCCAGGTAGCATTGCACGTTGCCATTTCCGTCTTGCGACATTCCTTTGCTGGATACATGATATGAGCTCCGGAGATCTTATAGTATTTTACTTTGGAGCCTTAGTGGAAGAATTTTCATATGCTGTGATGATGATGATGTTAGTGAACTTCCTAATCAAGCTATCAATACCATCCCCCTGAATGTATCGTTGGAAATGTGTACTGAATGTTGTTAGAGAGCACAAGTTTGCCAGTTTGTAATAAAGGCTGTGTTGTCTGGTGCAATAATAACAATTGATACCCAGGTAGATTCGGACTTGGTTGTGATCTAAGGACAATTCATCTAGTAGGGAAATATCGAGCAGGTAAGTGGTATTCTGTAGTCGGAAGAAATTAATAATTCAACTGAAGCCAGCGTTATATAGTGTACGAGTTTCATAAGTTCAAATACGGGAGCAAATTACATGTGACTCCATCTATTGAACAGAATCGTTTTTTTTTTTAAATGAGAGGATCCAATTATTACCATCATGGTAACTATGAAAAGTTGATATAAATTATTTGAGGATTTGAATACTATAATTTGATAAATCTGATCATTTAATCCAATTTTCTATTTCTAATTAATAAAACTTTAGAAAATTTTATCTAACAATCTACAATTTGTTCTTCTTTTCCCTTTCTTATTATTCAATTAGTAAAATACAATTACAGAATATTTTGGTTCATCAGAAGAAAGATCCATTTCCTGTTTCCTTTAAATGCCTTTTTTTCAGCTTCAACTTACTTATACTTAATTCCTCCTAACTTAAGTTATAGTTTGATATTTAATATTTATAATTAGAAAAAAAAATGTTTGTGTTTTTTTCAGTAATGGTTGCCTATGACAACGACATCTGGAATTTGAAGGCCAAAATTCAATGCATGAAATACTATGCACCAAATTTGACACACCAGTACATTTCGTATCTGAAGAGATAATAATGCTCCCTAGTTCTAATGAAAATTATTAGAAAGTTTATATGTTAAATGGTTTGTCATTTTGTAAGATTTATGTTTGTTGCTTTGAACTGAGCTTTGCCGTCATGATATTTGTAATAAGGGGACGTTTTAATTCGTTCAGAAAGTTTAGATTTTAGTTCAGGTACTGAATTAATAAATTCAAGTATTGACTAAAATATACACATTAAAATATTGAATTTATAAAATTGGAATAAAATAAACAAATTTTTATCAGAAACCACTCATTTAATTTTCGTTCACTTATTTGTGAAGTAAAATATATTAAGCTTAACACATAATTCATACGTTAATCTTTATATGTTTCTTTTAGCAGGAAGAAGGAACTGAAAAGAAAAAATATCCAAGAGCTGTATTTTTTATCATCGGAAATGAATTTTGTGAAAGGTTTTGCTACTATGGCTTGCGGAGTAAGTATTTTAGTAATGTGTTCATTTTAGTAACCGTGTGATAAAATAGTTTCAAACTAGGTTAATTATTAATTATTTTCCTTTTTTAAAAATAAATGCGAAATTATTTATAGAAAGAGCGAAGCTATATTTTCTCTTGCTCATCAAGTTTTTATAGAAATAGATGATGTAATAAATAATGAAATAGAAATTAGTATACTTTATGTTTAACCCATCGCAATAAAAAAACGTTGTTTCTGATGGTAATTTGAACCGAAGATTTGTTTATCTACATACAAGCGGGTTAGTGCGAAGCCACGAAACCGTTTATTAATGTTTCCTAATTTTGTAATTTATTAATGTTTCCTCTTTAAATAACATGAAACCTGGCCCACTCTCACAAAACCTATCCATTTTTATTCATATATCGAAAACAGGTTTCGGGGGTCTGAGATTCAGCACAAAATATAGAAAACAACTGTTTGCCTCTCCAAAGTCGAGATTTTTTTCAATGATGTTCCTTGGTACAGTTGTAGAATATGGCATACAAGTATAGAAACAGTCAAAAGAATAAAAAGAACGGCGCAAACTTTGATATTTTTCTTTCCTTTAAAAATAAAAAGGGAATGCTGATCCAAAGAGAGATAAAAGCATTTTTTAGACTCTCAAGATATGTCACAGAATATTTTAGGCAAGTTTTCAAGGAGTCTTTCTATTAAGCTACCTATGGAACACAAAAGAAAGCATGGCTAGCCCAGTAAATCGAAATTTCTGTGCTGGGATACAATTTTTTCACAACTGCCAAATGAAAGAAACAAATTTTTAGTCGTATATTTAGGGCTGTACAGCGCCACGTGGATGAAATTAAAGAGAATACAAGAAACGCATCCGATAAAAAATATTCACAGCTCACTGGAATGGATTCGTACGCAGACTAAATTCTAGTTAGTCCTGGAGAAAGTAAACTTCTGCAACATGGCATCTCATCTGATGATTATTTAATTCAGTAAATAATGAAAACAAATAGGAATTTAAAAATTTTAAAGTATCACAGCAAACAAAATCAATATTACTTTTAGAATTAATGCCTAAGCATTAGTTATGATTTTAAGTACTTAACGTCCTAGCTTTCTAGCCGCTTTCTACTTAAATTTTAATATAGTGCTGTTCTATTTTAGGTTTTGCCAACGGTATGGTGAGTCGAAAAGGCGTGGATGTTTTGAAGCAGAAACTTATATCCATGCATCTTCATACAAAACTCTAATTTTTAGTTAACTAATATTTATAACTTAGTTAAATATAATGTGTTTAATTTACCAGACTATTATTTTAAGAATTATGACTTCAAATTCAGTTCAATTTTCGCCTTCCCAGGCCTTTTAATAATCTCAGATAAACTTCGTCTAACTCAATTATCTCGTTAGCTTTTATTTGCTTGGCTAAACTGAATTAATTTATGATACTGGAAAAAAAAAAAAGAAATCAAGGCAAAACTAAAAGACTTTATTGCTATCTAGAGCTCACAGACAAGAATTAATTACAGCTTAAATCTCCCTCACTGCTTACAAGGACTAGTTATCTGTCAGTTTAATGCATTCGGATCAAAGTACAGCTGCAAATGGAAAGAATACCAGAGTTTTACATTCGACTGAACAAGTATAGTCTCCCAACACTAACTATACAGCGTTATCCCAATTTTAATGAATGACATCTCAAAAAGGATGGCTTGAGGGTTTTCCATCCCTTTTCCACTATAACCAGATTATTCGAGTAGACGTTCGTCTCGCAGTCTTTTAAAAAGAAAGTAATGGCATTCCGCATACACTATACATATACAAACATCTATGATTTCTCCAGAATTACAGCCTTAGTATATCGATTCGGGAGCCAACGTCGTTAACCACTATACCGATCAGGGCAGCTACCAACTACGAAACAGACTGAAAAACGTATTCTCACCAGATTTACAATTAATTAATTAAATTTATTTACTGGTACTACGGGGATCTAATTCTAATCCCGCACAACATGTAGGTAAATGATACAAATAATGAAAGTAACAAGAATCTAATCACGCACTATAGGCTGCGAGTATTAACTGAATATATTCAGACATTTATGAGCTCTCAAATGCTGATTAAACTTGCATGGCTTTTTGAGGAGAGTGGATTTGATAGAAACGAAGAGAAAATCATAACATAGTTAAAACGAATTACATATTTACTATAAAATCTTACATAGTTAACACATTTAATTACCTGAAGTATAAAAAGTAACTTTTGGATAGTGGGAATACATTTAAACATGCAATATAATTTACTTGTGATGAAGAGTAAAACGAAGAAAGCAAAAATCAAGAAAATGTGTTGTTGAATGTATAATAAATCTCGGAATGCAAACAGTTACATTGCTTCTGCGTATAATTTGGTATTATATTCATACTGCATAACTAGTCTTGAAATTTTATTACAAAGTTTTAATATTTCTTTATAAATTTCAGCCATCCTTACTATTTATCTCACACAACGTCTTCTCTATTCTGGAAATCATGCCACCGTACTTTTTCATCTTTTCGCCATGCTCGCGTACTTCAGTCCCGTACTTGGTGCTATCATAGCAGATTCATGGCTAGGAAAATTCAGGTAAATATTTGTAAATTATTTTTTGTAGTGTATTTTAATTTAGATACGTTCAGTAATTTGGATTTCGTAATCTGCTTAATGTTTAGTCTTATCGCATTTCTTTAATGTGCCAAATATTTTACTTCATATTATTTTCACTTTGGTACGCATTGATTATTTTTTATTGTAAATACAGGGTATTCTGTTTAGATTTATTCTACAAAAATATCTGGCATTCTGAAATCATCATAATTTTTTTTATTATCTATGATTTTCTAGGTACCAAAAAATTCACAAAAAGTTTCTTTTCTCTTCCTTTCCTTTTGATTATGTTAAATGTATAAATTTATATGCCTAATACTCTGTATTTGGGGATGTTTTCACTATGGTCTAAATGTCATTATTGCCATAGATATAAGTTTCTAAGCATCATAGGCACTTTCACATTTGCAAAAGTTCGGGGGATTATCCTCTAAACTGTAGTCATTTCAGGAGAATAACCTTACTTGGTATATACCGAAATCTCCAGCGAAGTTCAAATTTCATTTTCAAGCTGATATTTGCAACGAAAATATGTTCTAATGTCATAACGCAACGTTATGCATTTCAACTAAGAAAATGTTTTCAAAGTTAGTCGATTATCTGCAGAGATCTGAAAAACAGATTTTTGACGAAATTTGATATAGACATGTACCATTGAAGAAACATAAAAATGCTCAACAGCGCATGCTCGGGCTGTAAAGCTCAACGATGCAGGAAGGTCTAAATTAAAACATATGTTGCAATATGTGATACAGGCAACATGACTTCATAATAGAAATGAGGTAGGTCTCTGTGGCAGTCACTGCCACTCCTGCAGCAACGCTGCTTCTAGAACTCGAGGATTCTAGGAGAGGCAAAGCTAGTTGCATTTACTCTCTCAAGTGATAACAGTTTTACAAGCAGAAGTACAAGAACCCCTAAAGAACCTTCGTCTGGTTAGGAGAATCTCAATTTCAAGATATCCAGTTACCCTCTTCACGGATAGTCTCAGCAGCCTTCATAGCGTTAATAGCCTAAAATTTACAAAAAGAAGCATTATAAGCTTAAAATAAATAATAAAAAATTCCCATCGTGTAGATATAATTTGGGTAAATGCGCTTTAATGAGCATCAGCGGACAGACACGGAAGTGAAAAGTGTAATACACTTCGATACGGTAGAATGAAAAATTCCACTCAGAAGAGACAACAAAGCATCAAGCTTTCATAGAATCTTTTAGATTTTGGCAAGACCACTGGGATAATGAATTAACAGGAAGAATCACATTCGCGTTCTTTTCGAAGGTTCCAGCAGCAAGGCTCTTCACTGATCACTTCCTGAACCAAGTCCTCATAGACCACTAAAATGTTCCCTCAGTACTTAAAAATATTCCACAAAAAGCCGTACGATGCTCGAACCAGCGGGGAGCTAGCCGGCGCCTTTCACTATATAACATCTTGTCCGCGCCTTTCTAAAGAAGGAAAATTCCTACTTCCGGTTCCATCGCTATCTCTGGAGCCATTAGGAAAATTTCCAGCATCTCTTATTAGAGGTATGAGGACGATTTTGCAGCTTTTAATAGACAAAGAAAAAGATTTCATCAAAGAATGTAACTCATGAGCTTTTTCCGAATTTTGTAAATACATTCACATATTTAACTGGTCACTGTATTTGTATATATTTGTATACAATTTCTTTATATTTTGTATTTCAGCTTTGTTTTGTAATTTTTTTAAAGTAAAAGATCAGTTGTTTGAAATCCGTATAAAACGATAGATTGGTTACTAATGCCCGATAAATCTTCCAGTCAGATTGATCGTATATAGTGGTTAGAATCTTCCAAGACCTAGCCAATGGCTTCATCCTTCTCTTTTCAAACGAAACGCCACTTCCCCAAATAGTGTTAGCTCATAACAGCTCTCTGTCGCAAATTTAAGCCGAAAGGCGTACCTGTAATTTTACTAAAAGCTCCCCCCTTTCAGTATCCAATTCTTTAGCCAAAAGCCCCATCCCGCTTATGTTTAGCTGCAAAGTCGCATTGGCCCACTTAAGGAAACTTAACTATTCATCTCCCGCTGATTTTTTTTTACTAGTTAGTAAATACAAAAATGTCTCTTTACTCTCCTTTCAGTTAATTCAGAAAAACACTGAATATTTTATTTTGCTTTTTTCCTCTGGAACGATTGTACCTGTATAGTATGAATATTTAACTTCTCTTTTCATTTTTTAAATTTACGATATTTTAATTTTTTTAATAAGAAGAAATATTTTAGTAAATTTTTATCAAAGTTGTTAGCGTTTAAAATTTATGTTTTAGAAATAAAATTTGTTTGATTATTATTAATGATTAGGTTTGATTTAGGTCAAAGGAACATATTTTTATATAATATGCATATGTTACGGGGAAACACCGAAATCTGGAGAATGTCGACTTTCACCGGTGAATGTCAACATTCACATAGTCTCTTGGTGTATGTCCGAAATATTTTCCAAATACTCTTATTTTTGACTTACACCGGTCAATGTTGAACGTATAACAATTATATTTCTTCTCCGTAATTCAATCGCGAAATAAACACACTTTTTAAACTGAAATAAGAACTTAAGAACATAAGAAAAAAACACACAATACATTCAAAATGAGAAAGGAAATAGAAGTTAAAAACTTACTAATTATACAGTTCAATTTGAAACAAAATAACAGTAATAAAAACTAAATGATTCAAATCTTATATATTGCAACTTAAATATGCACTTTATGACTCTCTTTTCGACTTTCACCAGAGCATATTCTGTGATTGTCGACATACACGGTGAGGGTCCGAATGTAAAGAATGTAGTGAAATATTCGGTTTCACCGACGTATTTGGTGAATGTTTGATATTCTCCGGTGAAAGTCGACATTCTCCAATTTCGGTCTTTCACGGTAACACATGTTATTCACAGAAATCTAAATTGCTATTTCAAAATTGTGAAATAATTTGCTAATATTTTACAAATATATCATTAGCTTTTATTATTATTACTTATACTGAAATTTTATTTATTATGTTTTATGATCTGTTTGCTTATCAGTCTGTAAGACATCTTTGTTTAAGTATTTTCTGAACAATAGTATTTTTATATTTTTCAGAACAATTCTGTATATTTCAATTCTCTACCTAGCAGGATGCATCGTTTTAGCTGCTGGATCTATTCCAGCAGCTTTGGGCGATATGAGGTAATGTTATGAGGTACCTTTCTCAGCACCTAACATTTTTTTTCTCATGACTAATTTATTATTGAGCTTGCCAATTTGTCGTATCTAAGCTATTGATAAATATGACTTAGTAATCGGTAAAAAATGCATTAAGAACTAATTTATAACACCTGTATATAATACAGTCAAACTTCCCATTCGCGGACACTCGCAGAATTAAGGCTTTTATTTGTTATCAAGGAGTGTCCGTTAAATGGGAGTACACTGGTGGTCTGCTTTGAAGATCCAGAGATTTAGAAATTATCTTTTAATATGGAATGTTTGGTAAAGTGGAGGGCTTATTAATGGAGGTTGAACTATATGTATAGTTACTTAATCATTATAGTTCGTTGTATTTCTTTTCTCTTTCCATCATCAGACGAACTTCTCAGAGCCGATAGGACAATTACATAACACTGGCATTTCGTCTTGAATTGGGTTCTTAAATGCTGGACGAATGGGCTATATAGAGTTGCGTATTTTCCTTCACGTGTAATTTAAATGCAAGCCGATTTCTTTGAGAAATTTCGCTCTGAGCTCATTCTTCCTGAGACAGTTCTCAAGTACTTTATTTATTACCTAACCTATAACTTTTACCATGAAGAATCTATAACTTTACCATAAAGTAACCTATAACGTTTAGCATAAAGAAAACTATTTATTTCTCTGAATCGATAATACTTTCATCGAAAATCATTTTCTTTTCTTTCCTTTAACAAATACCAGAAGTTCTATTAGTTTCGATCGTCCCTTTTTTTGCCCATATCACTTTTCAAATAAAGGATGTAGCCCCCAAATGTTATCCGCATGTATTATTTTGAAAGAAATAATGTAGCGAATGTATAAATCTAAGAAAAATAATATGTAAAAGATTAAATTAGCAGCGTAAATTAATTTCCGTTCTCTAATCTAAAAATAGCAACATCTTTTTGCACTGATTCATTTCGAGAAAAATCTATGTCATATGACTCTTACTTAATTCTGTTGATGTAAATTGAACTAAAACTCAACCAGCCAATAGTAATTTTACAGCAATATTAACTGTCCAATCAAAATGCTTTGGAAACCAAAACTAACCCAGTCTGACTTCATCCTGAACATTACGCACTTGTTTTCTATGCTTTAGCCCAGCTGGACTGCTGTCTGCTCCTCCTTTCTAACTGCAAAATTATCTTAAATGTGAGCTTTTTGGAACAAGCACATTTAATGTGCCGACTTGTGTGTAGCTGAAAATAAAACTGAAGATTTAATTTGTCTTCGCCTCCAATTTCCTAGTCGTTATGGATCAGCACTTCTACGCAATCAAAATTCCTCCTCCTGCTCCTGAATATATTACATATACATGCATACAATGCATATATATATATGTACAAATGTATATCCAAAACTGTGGCTCCGTTAAAACTCCAACATAAGCATATTTAGTTGCTAGATATGGTGTGAAGAGGATAAAAAATGATTGAATATTTAAGTTAATTGATAAAAATGCTATATGCTAACAATTAGATAATTTTAACACAGTAAAAAAGCAAATCAGTTGAACGAGGTAAAAAAGATATAGCCTATATGCTAAACAAAAAAAGTAGATTATAAAACATAGAAATACTAATTAATGATCAAGGTAAATATAAAAAATATTAAATTAAGAACGGTAAATGTTTAATTAAGCCCAATTCGAAGTTCATTTTGGCTTGTCAAGGGAAATTTTTTTTTTAAATGAACCAAGCTAAAAATTACGCGTTTCGGCCGAACAGACATTGAAACTTTGCGCGACAATTTTAATGAATTAATTAAACTATCAAAAAACTTTAGTCTCATTCTCTGTTCCAATTTCTCGACGCGTCGCATATTTGACCATTAAGGCGTAAAAATGGAAATACATTAGATATATATATATATATATTCAAAATGTATGGCAAAATGGCAAAACTTAACAGTAAGTCGGGAATTCTAAGGCTATGCTGTGCTATATACTCGTATATATATATTATGATTTTGCTGTTGAATTTTATGGCGTACAGATTTACGCACAGAACAAATGAGTCTTTTTTCCAAGACAGATTTCAAAATGAATTTAAAATGGATTCAAAAGATTTTTTCGTGACGTTCATATGTATGTAGGTATGTGTCTCAAGAAAGATTGGCAGCCGAACGTCGAAATTTTTTATATGAGACTGCTATAGCATCTAGTTGTGCCCTTCCTTTTTTATTGCAATCAGTAGTACCAAACGTATATATACCCATCCCTTTACCAGACTTAAAAGTACTTACCAGACCTTTATTTTCGCAATTGTTGGTCCTAGTCATGTATTTCGAACTATTGTTATTAATACCAGAAAGGACTTAGAATAATTCGCGAAATTAAGTTTAATTGAACTGCAGCAAGAATATCTATAATTTAATAGGCCGTACAAGGTAGTCATGTGGTGTCCACATCATACTCGTTAATAACATGCAAACCAGATTAATTAGCGTGTAATCCCTTAGCACAGAGTGCTAATTTGCTAAATACCTTACCCTACGGCCTGCTGTGTTGAGTCTTCATATTAATTTATTTCACAGTTAACTAGTCGGCGAGTTCTTGATCCTTAGTTAATATATAATAAAATTTAAATAATGAGTATACCATTTTAGCACTACTTTTGAGTGTATTTGTTAACTTCTGCTTCTGAGAAGCAAATTATATTGATCAGCTATCATATGATACTTTGCAGAGTACCTTACCGAAAGGCCTGTTGTGTAACTCTACTTAATACTAGCTTAATACTAATAAGGTTAACTAGTTAGCGAGTTATTGCCTCGCACTAAATACGCAATAAAATTTAAACACTAGCTAAGCTATATTACCACCACTTGTGAGAGAATTAAATTAATTTCTGTTTCCCATCATTAGTAAACTAGATTGATCAATATATGATTTTCTAGCTTCTACTACTGGCATCGCTCCGTAGTTAAATAATTACTATAACGGAATTTAGTTAAGCTATATTACCACCATTTGTGTGTTGCAGAAATTGCCCCTGGCAACAGATTTTAAATAATAGTTAAGCTATATTACCATTATTTATGGGTTTCTGAAATCGCGCCTAGCAAATAAGATTACTCAACTTAAAACTTATACTTCAACAGTTCGAATTTATTATTTGAATTTTTAGGAATCCTGGCGGATGCGCTAGCTGTATGGGTATTTTCGTGGTTTTACACGTATGGTAATGTGAATATCAGCCCAGTTTTGTAAGGTTTTACGCTTACTAACGAGTTATTTTATGATTGCTTGTACTATTACTTCAAGATTCGTAGGCCCCCACCAAGATGCTAATTAATTAATGTACCTGCTTTAAAGCCTTCGACTGCTTTGTCTTCATCAAATAAACAATAAACTGATGGAAATGTCCTACATCGGACTATTAATTAACAGATATAAATTCTAAATTTACCATATAAATTCAAGAATGGTTTTTTATATGTGCCATAAATATGAATACTAGCTAAATAGAATATTTTTTTGAACCTCATTTTGGCTTCTAAAGACGAAATTAGTTATTCATTTTTTGGCTATTAGACGGTTGTGCTTTTAAGATAAATTTCATTTAGGGAGACACTATTTTAAAATTGCTGTAACAAAGGCAAACTGCATGCTTTTACAAATTCATTATAAAATGCATTTCAGCTGGAAAAGCATTTTCAAACGGTAAAAATTATTTTTGCCTCTGTTGTTTTTAAATTATTATTCTAGTATTAAATAACTGTACTTTTTTATTTATTAAGACTATTATACTTTACAGAATAACATCGTTAATAGGCCTTTTCATAATTGCTCTTGGAACTGGAGGTATAAAACCATGTGTTTCAGCATTCGGCGGCGATCAGTTTGCTCCAGATCAGGTGAAATTTCCTTTTCTTTTACTTTTTTCATTCCACTGTAGAGATTTACAGTTTAAATTAATGAAGAATCTGGTTTTTGTGAATTTGTTTGAAAACAGAGAAACAAAAACTTTAGACGCGTGTAAATTAAGAAAGAAAAGTCTGAGTTATAAACAGAGATAACAATCAATGGAAAGGACGAATAAGCACTTTTTTTAACCAGGGCCACGAGGAAGCCTGAGAGAAGTTTCTTCTGGTAAGATAGAGGAGATTACAGAGTCCATGCTTCCTGCAATTGTCAAGAATCTTATGAAGAAGTAAAAATTAAATTAACTCCATACTTCTTTAAACGAAAGTTTATTTAATTACAAGTGGGAAAAGGTTTAGATCACAGCCAAAGCAGTAGCATCCTAAAACGGCGAGATGAACAAAGTAACTGATCTTTGTTGATGAACCAAAAAACTGTAAGACACTTCTGATCTCTTCTTGTGTTACCATTATATGAAATCATGACATTCCTAAAAGTGAGCTTTAAAAACACAATGCTGACAAATCTGCTTGGGAATGTTTTTTTTTTCTATTATTATATTGAATGTGAACAAATTTTCGTTCATAATTCCATGCCGAATATTATATTGTCATTAATATAATTTATTACATTTTCTTGCAGACCAAGGAGATCCAGAGATTCTTTTCTTTTTTTTACATTGCAATAAATCTGGGTAGCGTGATATCAACGTTTCTTACCCCCATTCTCAGAGGTAATAATTCTCATTGTGTTCCTCTTTAGTTCTTAAGTTTTATTACTCAGAAGTTGTCATCTACTGTTTATAATATACGAGGGGAGATCCAAAAAAAGGTTTACAAGGCAAATGAAAAAGTATTTATTAACAAAAGAAACAAGATACAAATGGGAATCAAGAGACAAATCTGGCCTTCACTTTTCCACATAGTCGCCAAACCTGTTTAGGCATTTGTCAGAACGGTCGACCAACTTGTTTGTCCCGTCTTGGTAGTTACCAGGGCCCTGCTCATTGAGCCATTTCTCGGCAGCTGTTTTCACTGCGTCGTCTGAGGTGAAACCGTGTTCCGGATAAGTATCGCTTCAACACCGGAAAAATGAAATAGTCACTTGGAGCCAAATTGGGGCTGTATTGTGGGTGGTTCCAGATCTCCAACTTGAACCTTTGCAGCAATTCCTGAGTCTGGCGAGCTGTATGGGGCCTGGCATTGTCATGCAGAAGAATAACGCCTTTGCTCAGTATTCCAGGCCGTTTGCGTCGGATGGCTTTACGCAATTTCGTTAAGGTGGCACAATAACGATCGTCCTTAATGGTATGGCCACGCTCCAAATACTCGATTAGGATAACACCAGTCGTATCCCAGAAACGGTTGCCATCACTTTACCGACAGAGGGTATGACCTTAAACTTCTTCCTCGCCGGTGATCCAGCGTGTTTCCACTCCATCGTGGCTCTTTTGGATGTGGGGATGAAGTGATGAAGCCATGTTTCATCACCGGTAACGATGCGATCAATGAAGTGTTGGCCGTCTGAAGAAATGTGAGGCTGCACATCATTCGAGTGGCCTTATGCTCCGTGGACAACGCACGTGGAACCCAGCGGGCACAAACTTTGGAATATCGCAACTCATCGGTTACGATACGCTGAACGTTACCATAGCTCAGGTCCAACTCTGAGGCAATCTCGCGCACGGTTACTCGTCGAATCCCTTTGGAATGATTTCTTCAACATACGTGCCGTGTTGATATCCATCCTTGAAGAACTTGGACGGACGCTCGCTTCCATATTGCGGTTTTCCACATGCTCCCTTTCCTTTTGATAAGAATGACACCATTTCGCTACCTGTTGTCTACTCATTGCTTTTGTCACCCGTATACCTCAATGATTTGTCTGTAAATTTCGGATGCGGCCACATTCTTGGCCCATAAGAATTGAAATACGGCTCGCGAATTACGTCTATGCGAGACCACTTTTCTAGACGTCGTGCCATTACTGTCGCTCTTAAGTTCTGCGTACTGACGCTACTTACTCGTAGAACCGCTGTATGACAACTAGCACCTAGTACGCTGTAAGACTAGGTGTTCACGCTGTAGGACACTTTACTTGTCAACCACCCTGGTAGGAAATATTCGCTCCACAATTATTACGTTTCAAATGCTTCTGGTTGTAAACTTTTTTTTTGGATCAACCTTCGGAAAATCTAAAGAAAGCAGTAAATTGATGTGCAATTACTTACTTTATCATATAATTACTTTCATAATATTAGGGAATGTTAATACATCAAATCACTTAAGTTATTGTGAAATTTTAAATTATTAAAGTTACTATTTTTCATTTTTATGACTTTTTATTAGTAAATAATTTAGGAACATATTCTATGTGATTTTTCCAAAGTTTTAGTATTTATGTTGAATGATTAATGATCAGGTTTTAATCAGCGATATTTTTTAATGTTAAAGTAATTATTAGTTACAAATATTTGAAAATTAAATTTTATATCAAGTATTAATGTTCTAAATTAAGAATATTGCTTACTGTGTAATATATATAATAACAATAAACTTTTATATTGCTACAAAAATACAGACAATCAGTCATGTGATTACATTTTGTTACATTTTATGTTTCGAGTTTCATTGCAAAGTTGTTTTAAAAATGTTAATTCTATTTCATTTATGGAGAATTTCTCTCGCCTTCTTAGCGAGTCTTCGTGGTTGTAGTGGTTTGCACGCTCAGCGCGTAACTGAGAGGTCCGCGGTTCGATTCCCGGCGAAGGCATTTCATATTTTTCATCTTTCCTGCTTCCTAAAAATAACTTAACGTCTCTACAGTGGCGCCCGAACTGAAAGAGTGTTGGATGATGATTCTCCTCACCCAGGATTTGGCGATTGGGTCCCCTAAAAAAAAAACCAGTCCCTGTTTAAAAGGGGGGTATATGAGGCATTTCTCCCGCCTTCTTAGCGAGCCTTCTAGGTGTAGTGGTCTGCACGCTCAGCGCGTAATTGTGTGGTCCGCAGTTCGATTCCCGGCGAAGGCGCTGCATATTTTTCATCTTTCGGGCTTCCTAAAAATAACCTAACGTCTTTACAAATTGTTCAAATCCATCTGTACCATGCAAACTTCTTTCACCACTCATAACAAAGATCTCAGTTTCCTTGGATAGTCAGTACCATATTAGTACCTATAATGTAGAAATAATGTTTCGTGGATGTAAACTTCATACTTTATTAATATGCTTTTGAGGAACTAAGATATCGAAAAAGCTAAATTCACCGTTGTGATTTTGAGAACACTATAGTTATTAGAAAATTAATTTCACTGTTTTAATTTGAGAATATTGTTGCTAAAATTATAGTATCACATGTCAAAGCTTTTTCGATCGCATGCCATCTTTTTCGATTTAAAATTTTCGAGCTACTGGAAATTCAAGCAACATTTAACTTTGATTCCTATTACAATTTACGAAGATATTTTCAGACTTTCGATTCACTATATCTTTTAAGGACACAGTTAAACTGCTGTAAGAGTGAGTTTACAGCTTATAATTAAAGATTCGAGATCTATAAATGATAAAATACCTTCATAAGAATGATTTGTTTTGGATAAAATAGGAAATTCTCTCTAATGTATAGAGGAACAGAAAGGAGATAGGACATTTAAGTTATTTTTTTCTCATGGTAAAAGTTATCTGCTTGCTGTCTGTAACATTATAAACTAAAAATTCTTTAAATAGAATTTTTTTTAAAAGTACGAAATAGTTTTCGTTTTTAACAAAATTTTACATCGTTTCCTGCTTAATAATTAAAATGGCAAAATTATTTTCGATTTCGTTTATTTTTGCAAAATTTCATGCATTAGTTAAGGTAGCTTAAATTTAATCCATGTTTTCATAATACCAGCAATAATCATGTACCTAAAATTTCTAGTTTTAATTTTTATGTTATCTTTAGTTTTTAACACAAATATTAAAGATTTCACTGATCCTTAGCGGGCAGTTATTAAATTCTGTTCTCTTTCTTAGAGGATGTCCACTGCTTTGGATCAAGGTCTTGCTATCCATTAGCATTCGGAGTTCCAGCTTTTTTGATGATTGTTGCCTTAGGTAAGTCTTAAACACTACTGTACTTAGCATGTTCATGATATTTTATATAATTTGAATTACTCCTGTTGGTTAGAGAAATCATAATTTCATTAGGTGTCACAATTTAAATGATGTTCTGGCACTAGGTTGTAGTGACTCTGAATCACACAAATCAAATAATGCTATAAATAGCATGTGTTTTACTGTGTCTCGTGTAACATATATTTTAATAATAAATAAGACTGATGCTAAAAATAGCTGCTGAATACAGAGTGGTTCAAATTAGACTGGCCCTGAAAATATGGATAAATCTGACCCTAAATTTACCCATTTTAATGAAGAGCGAAACTGTCTTTCGCTACGGATTCCGTTTTGTGCCATTTTGTCACAAAGGTTTCCAGTGCATATTTTGCTGGAGGTATTGCCAAGATACTTCTGTTCTTAAAATCTTGAGCAAACAGTTCAGTACAAGTTCTTCCCGAATTGTGCCTTACGTAACACTCAACAATGAACATCCACTGTTTGGTTGTCGGCACCTATTTTGTGTTGCATTCAACTGTTAAACGCGATCTACCTCTTTTGCGATCGTATTATATAATAGTCCAACTATAAGTCAGCAAGAGAACTTTGTTAAGTCCTGCACGGGGCTCTAATAGTAAAAAAACTCAATCGTATTGGGAAATTATGAAACTAAAGATTCTGCACAACATGCAGAATACCATACCGCAAATGCTTCCGCAGATATATTAATAAAGGTGCTGACTATTTCTTAGCCATGCTGGTGGCATATGACTGAACGACTCATAACAAAATTTAACGGCCATTTCTGCTTTTATTTACAGAATTAAAAATTTAATAAACTAATAAATTAATTTCATTCATTTCTTTTTAATTATTAGTCCAAAGGGGCAATTTGTTCAGAAGGACTATTAATTCCGTTTTTGGCATTTTGTCTTGATTCACTACAAACGTTGTTTCACTTTTCAAATTGTTGCTACCAAATATTATCGCCCTGTATTATATTTAAAGAAATTAAATAATGAATAGTCTGCATAAATGTATGTATGTTTCTCGAATTGTGATAAAATAACGGTACCTAGAGCCGTTAAATTTTGAATAATGTACTTCTCTTGCGAATATGGGCATTTGGAAGCCCAAATTTGAAATTTGGAATTTGTTTTATTACCTATTTTATATTTTGTGAAACTTTAAGGAATTTTTGATTATAAAACTCAAGGATTTCAAAGAGAGCAACGTTGTACAGAGAAAACATTTTTATCTCCAACACACGAGACTGTGTATCGGAAATTCTAAAGATATGCTCATTTTAAAATTATTTTGCGATATTTCTCCTGAACTGAATTTTATGGTTTAAGTGCGGAGGACATGATATTTAATAAATAAAGGTAACACACAAAATGTTACAAAAACGCCCCTTTCGACGGAATTTAAAATCTGAAACCTTTCAGATTTTAAATTACGTCCAAAGCTACGAAATGAATGATATACACTTAAGTATATATTTTCATTGTTTTTCTAAGTCATTAAATTCACTGCAGCATGAATGTAGACTTGAAGATACAGGTTTGTCGTATGAATTGGTGAACTTTCGTTCTATTAGGGTAAGCATCGATACGCATTACGATGGAAAATATGGAATATATACTGCAAATTCTGGTAGTTGCTTTAAATGATATTTACATTTTTAAACATGGAGATCCATTATGAAATATTATGGATATATTAAAAAAGTTCTCGTCTTACCTTTATGAAATCGAATATGAATAGATGAACTGACTTGAATTAACAGTGCTAAATTTTCATCAACTCCGAAATTTAGTAAGCATCTTATGTGTTATTTCTGGTTCAATTTTCCGCTTTTTATACTCTTAAAGAAAATATAAAAGTTACAATATTTAAATTTAAAATGATAAAATATTTTCATATCTGCTGCTTGTTATGTGCAAAATGTAAATTTTGAAAATTAACAGCTAGTTTTTTCCTCTTACAGTTATATTTATTGTTGGCAAACCTCTTTATGTGATGCATCCACCAGAAGGGAACATCATTGTCGAGGTGTTTAAATGCATCTGTGTAAGTTTTACATATTATTTTATGAAGTTTCATTTAATAACTTTTAATTTACTACAAAACATTTTTACAATTGCTACTTAAAAATGGTTTCAACTCAATATTCTATTACCAGTATTTATATTATTATTTTTTTTCCCAATGGCGGGCCCTCAGCCGACTTTTATATTATTATTCTATTACTAGTATTATTTGTTGCTACCGATATTATTATACTACCAGTAATATTCTACTGTCAATATTGTTATACTATCAGTATTAATATACCATCAATATTATTTTACTATCAATATTATTCTACCGCCAGTATTTTTATACTACCAGTATTACTATATACCAATATTTTAAATTACCACATATTGATGAACAATTTTTCTTCACTGCTCAAAACAATAAGAGACATTATGGTTTTGGATATAAACAGTGAAGTCGGAAAAGATTTGTTAGCTCGTGTAGGATCCATAGACTCTGCAAGTTGTGAGAAAGAAAACGCTTGAAACAATGATTGATTATTTTTTTATCTGCCAGGAAACGAAAAAGTGCACATTTTATGCATATCATAAAAAGAATAAAAAATATCATGTCTCGCATAATAATGAGTTTTAACAAGGAATATATTTTCTTTTTACCAAAAGTAGTGTTACACACGTGTAACACATTGAGTCAATGAGGTTATCTACTCGTAAAACGGACTGGAGTATTTTTCACTGAAGAAAATAAATTCATCATCGATTGCTGCAGCATAGGAGACCGTAAAATGTCTAAAGATTTCATCCCTATATCCTTCAGTATCCTATATCTTCAGCCATTAATGATCCATTTCTTATAAGGCGCAAAGCATTATGTCATGCCTTGCGCAGTTGTTTATTAATAGGGATACCAGCACCGGCCATCACTCTGCCTTCTACAAATCAGACACTTATCTTCGCAAATGCAAGATTATTCTGAGTGTCACATTCTTTCTAAACGATAAGTCATCAGGTTGTCAATAACAGCGGAACTTGTCTGAGAATACGACATTCCTTTATAAATTTCATCTCCGTCTGGGATGCTATAATACCCACTTGCGAACAGTAGGGTGACCTGCTGGTAAAAAAAACACAAACTATAGATTCGAAAACATGCAAATCAACAACAGGGAGGAATTTCAAACAACTTGTGTTGAATCATTGATGATAATAGGCATCAGAAGTTGCTGCTGCGAAAGAGTGATGTTCATGTAGCGATTTCTTCCTAGCCGTTGCTGCTAAACAGCGGTCTTTATGTTGTAGCACCCCTACGAACTTAACATTTACGAAGCTGTGCCTAGCATTTCCAGTTTTCAAAATTCGATTCTATAGTTTATAAATTACACATTAGGACGCTGCCCAAACGGGATAGTGGTTAGCAACGCTTGCCGTAACGAAGGGCCCGAGTTTGAATCCCGGAGAAGGCATGGATATTTGTAAGTGTATAGTGTCTTTGAAGCATGGAGACATTCTAAATATGCGTCGAGCGGAAAGTCCTCTCGAGAGGTAGATGTAAGGGAAAAGAAGTAGGAGACCCTCGGACCCGTCTCTCCTGGGGATGCTCTCCTTCAAAATTGGGAGCAGAATTGAGCAAAGTCGTAATGTCTTCTGTATGATGCTCAAGGCTCTTGCCAACGACAGGCGCAATCTTGCACTCCTTGTCACAATCAATTTCCTGGATTTGCTCTGATGTTACAGTGAGATAAGTGAGATAAGTCACAACAACAGTACTTTAAGACACTTCAACGGCTTTCGCAATAAAAGGCAAAGGTTGGGCCGCTTCTAAACAATCGATGATCTTGCAGACTCCGATTCGGCAAGTCATGGTATTGAAACATCGTATTCGCTGCTACGAAATATTCAGAATAGGACAGTTGTTTCTTATCGCCTCCTACATGAAGGATGTTGCAGGTCGCTCCCATTCCTTACATAAAATGCGTGATTTTATAAGTATTTGTGGTTGTTTCATAACGAACTCATTATATCCTGTAATTGTTTTCAGCAGCATATGCGACAATAACAGTCTACGCAGGATTTGAAAGACAAATTATAATTTTTTCTCTTATGTATAAATATGTTGTAAATTATACAATTTGTATGCTTATAAAATAGTTATAAATATAAGTATTTGTTGTTTTGGGGGCAAACAATTCGCCAAAACTCCGTTAGTAGAACAACAGTCTAAGTACAAGAAATTTTCATCAGCATTAATTCTGCAATTGTAGCAAGAACAGCTTCAAAAAAAATTCTGCGGACTTATATTTCCGTCAAATAAATTCAACGCTATAGGATTTCAAATAATATAGTATTTTGAAAATTTTAGCGTCTATTTTAAGCATTTCAACCAGAAAGTACACTTTGTTTCGCGTCAGATGTCCCCGAATATTCCCGGCATTGGTTTTTATGAATATCTGAAAAATAACAGTAAGTCTTTATTAACAGTCGGTTGGACTAACCTTTTACTGAAGTACACATTAAATGCGACATGGGATGGATTCTTAAAAGTCTTTCACAAGTTTAAGGCAATATGAAGCCATTTTTCATGCACTATCTATGGAAGTGTAACTCGAGGTAAAATTCGAATTCGAAGTGTGAACCAAATATTCCTAGAAATATTCAATAACGTTGAAGTGAGGAGACTAAGGGAACCAAACGATATGTTTTCCTTGTCAGGCTTTTCGAACCAGGTTTAAATACACTTAGCAGCGTGGATAGGAGCGTTACGTTAAAGTGAAGATGAAAAGATGAACATAGATGATGAAGATGCTCTGATATGGTTCCCCTTTGACCTTCCTTGCAAAATGACAGATTGAATAAGATATCACATCCCATCTTAGTAGAGAGGTCAAATTGAAACCTCCATGATTCAAAGTCATCTAAAAGGCGGACAGACGTAATGCACGCTTATATTTGAAATAAGCTGAGTGGTGATTCTTCTGACAAGGGCACTTGTCGCTTTTAATGTGGGCGCCCATCCTTCGTGAGCTATGCTGTATTGCGATGACTTGAATGCATTACGTTATGTTACCAGTGGTTTACAAATTCCCACTCTGCCATTAATGGTCGCAGTATGGAATTCCCCTTTAACACTTTTAGTTGAAATGTTGTCCTGCGGATGAGTATTCATATCAGATATTATCTAAGGTAGAGATTGTTCTTGCTTTCTCGCCGCTATTCACCTGAACATCCGTCTGTCTTGATCATTAGCTTTGTCTTTCGTCCCACACTGTTGTTTGAAAACACCATTTTACCATCTTTTGTGTATACTGGCCTAGATATAGGACATGCTCCTCCCATATTTAAAACGTTTTGCTAATTATGTAACCGAGGCTTCAATGAACTGCGTTCCAACAATCATACTTTTTTGAAAGTTTATCAGGTGCGACTTTTCAGTATCTATACGATATGCATGCAGTATTTTTCACAGTTGATGAAAGATTAGTTCTTTTGCTTTTACGAATACTAGGTTGAAGATTCCTGCAACGTGTACATCTGGCATTGCGGGTGTGAAAGGCAGCATATATTTCGTTAACATTATTTTGTATCCCATGCATAAATAAAACGTAATGCGGACAAAAGAGGAATTTATGATGCATGAAAGTACTTTCCGTCAGAGATATTCTTATTTTTAGGCTTTACAATGTTTAATTAGTGGTTCTTAAAACTACTAATTAAGCATTGTATAGCCTAAAAATAAGAATATCTGTGACGGAAAGATAGTGTAAAAAGTCTTGCGCAAATTTAAGGCAATATGAAGCCATTTTTCCTGCAGAGCACTATCTATGAAAGTGTAACTTGAGGTAAAATTCGAGCTCGAAGTGTGGAATTCAAATATTCCTAGAAATATTCAATAACGTTCAAGTGAGGAGTCTAAGGGAACCAGACGATATGGTCATCAGTCAATTTTTAGCCCAAAGGGCGTTAGCCCAGAAGGGCTATTAATTTCGTTTTTGCATTTTTCGCTGAACCCTTTAAAACTCTAAATGACTTTTTAAATTATTGCCATCAAGTATTATCGCCCTGTATTATATTCAAAGAAATTAAATAATGAAGAATCTGTGTAAATGTATGTATGTTTCTCGCATTGTGATAAAACAACGGTACTTAGGGCCATCAGATTTTGAATAACGTGCGTCTCCATCCGATTATGGGCGTCTGGAAGCCCAAATTTGGAATTTATTTTACTATCTATTTCATGTTTTTGTAAAGCATTTAAGCATTGTTGGTTTGCGCACATATTTGATTAAGAAACGGAACAATTTCAAAGCGAGCAAATGGCAACACTGTACGGAAAAAAAAAATCTCCGGCGCGCGAGACTATATATCAGAAATTCTGAAGATATGTTCTTTTTAAACTACACCGGTGGACAAAATTAAGAGATGGAAATCATTTTCCCACATTTCTGTTATACAACACAAAACCTGGACAATTGGTTGCCATAAAATATCACTGTAGTGATGGTGTCACCGAGATGAGTTTACGCATTACTGTGAGCGTCGCTACGCCAGCAGGAGTTACAAAAAGCCCATGTCCAGCTGCTCAGTGTTTTTTTTATCGTCCTTCTTGAATAATCTTGTGTTTTTTTGTTGTTTGTTAGGTGAAATGAGTACATCATCACTTAGACGAAGGTATGAGACGGAGAATCATGGGTAGGCTTAAGGCAGGTCAGTCCCAAGCTCAGGTTGCATGAGAACTGGATGTAACACCAAGTGCCATCTCTAGTTTGTGGAATCAGTTTAAAAACACCGGGACAGTGTCCAGAAAACCAGGACAAGATTGCCCGAGAGCCACAGTGACCAATGGCGACCAGTATTAGGTACTTTCAGCCAAGCTCCGGATGACGTCTACAGCCACACAACTGTCTCGCGACCTTACTACTGCCACATGAACATCAATTTCAAGGAAGAGAGTTGTCAGAAGGCTCTTGAAACAGGGCTTGTATACCAGAAAGTACGCTACTTCCATACCCTTTCACTCACTCTCACAGAAGAGAGCGTTTACAATGTTGCATATAACACCAATACTGAGCACATCTGTATTCAGCTATTGCTTCGTTCACGGATGAGTCCATGTTCAGTCTACAACCTGATTCTTAGAGATTATTGAGGGAACCGGGTACTCGATCATGGAAAGGTACCAATATGGTGGTAGAGGAGCGATGGTCTGGGTAGGGATCATGCAAGATGTCCTCACACCGCACCATGTGTTTGACACTGGTTCCATAAATACCCAGAAATCTTAGAAACCTATGCGCTACGTTTCAGGGCTGCTGTTGGCCCCGAGCTCATCTTTATGGACGACAATGCGCGACCACACAGAATCTACCTGGTTGATGACTATCTGGAAAGCGTGGATACTCACCGAATGGATTGGCCAGCCAAACTTCCTGACCATAATCTTATTGAACATACTTAGGATACTCCTGGAAGGACTATTGTAATACGCCAAACCCCACCCAGAACCATGCAGAAGTTAAAAAATGATCTGGTCGAGAAGTGGGCCTGACTTCCACAGGCACTCCTGAACTCTCTTGTTAACAGCATGGCTACTCATTGTGCATGCTGTTTGTCTGTCATGGGCGACCACACACCATACTAGCCACATTTTCACTGCCATCTTTCAACCTCAAGTTTGGACCACATTGAATTCTTGGCCATAACTCATGCTAATGAATGGCATTTTCATTGTTGCTTTGCGCACATTATTGTCATACAATACACTATAATCGTACCTAATTTCATTTATTTCTATCCAGTATTTCTCGAGATATTTGGTAAAAAGTGTTCCATCTCTTAATTTTGTTCATCAGTATATTTTGCGATATTGCTGATGAATTGAATTTTATGATTTAAGTGCGGAGACAATGATATTTAATAAATAAAGGTAACACGCAAAACGTTAAAAAACGCTCCTTTGAGCGTAATATAAAATCCGGAAGCTTACAAATCTTTTTGCGAATGTAACAGAATCAGAATTTGTCCATGGTGAATTTTCTGCATGATTGGCATAGATTTAGGTGACTGTTCTTTCCTCCGTTATTTGTCGACTATATGTAAAACTAAGCATTATTTTTTATCTTACTGTACATATATTTTATTAAAGAAAAGTATAGTTTTATTTATTGTTCATATTTTGAGCAAGTTATGCATATGGGGGCACCTAAAGTCTCTTAACTTTTTATTTTCGGAGCATCTTAATCTGGCCTTGAAACTTTGATAATTCTGTTATTTATTATATTAAATTCTGAAATAATTGTTTTATGAAATGTATTTTTCTTAGCATGCCCTTGGAAGGAAGATGAAAAGTTCGGAAAAGAAGAAAGAGCATTGGTTAGATTATGCTGAAGACAAATTTGATGTAAGTTTAAAAAATCATAGATTTTATGAAAATAGTTTAATGTGTATTTATTGAGTATGTAGATGCACTGAAGTCCTGTTTGTGTGCCATTATTTTTCAATATTTGTTTCTGTAAGTGCTAAAAATTTAAATGAAGTATCTCAATGTTTTCTTTTTTCAGAAAAAATTAATAAACAACATCAAAGTTATACTACATGTGCTTCTTCTTTTCATACCACTTCCTGTTTTTTGGGCTCTTTTTGATCAGCAGGTAAAAACTTTTATTTATTTATTTATTCATTTTTTGGACGAAAACGTGAAATTGGTTTTGCTTTTAAAATGAAAGCACATGTGCTGTTGAGTAGTTTCCTGAGATATTAAGCCAATAAAAATAAGGAAAGATGTACTAAATGTAAGAAAATCACATCAATATGAATAATTAATAATATTCCCCTTTTTTAAGTCCATTATTTAGATAAGATTTTTTATTCCAATATTTACTGTATTTATGTCCTCCTCCTCCTTTTTTTTTTTTTTTTTTTTTTTTTGTACTAGCTAATGTTTTAAGTTTCCGTTCCCAATCTAAATGATTTAGGTGATCTGGTCACTTACCACAAGCTCCAGGGTATTAGTTCAATCCTGTGTGTAACATTTGTAGTAAAAAGATAGAAATTATTGTGGATGGTAGTGACGCTGGAATAAAAATTTACTCCAGAAAATGAAACAAATACTAACTCAGGAAATCAATGCGAAAAAAAAAAACGACTCCAACTCCAACTAGAAATATATGGCGTGATTAGCACGCATATTGCGTGTTGTGTTCCGGCTGCCATAAATTATTGTGCTATAAGCAGAGCTTCAAGTAGGCAAATACAGAATCGTGGGTCCAAAATGACGTGCTTGGATGTAACGAGGGCTTCGACCATAAAACCTACTGAATAAACCAAGAAGGAGGAGTTGTTGCGGTTAGCTATGACATCAGAAGCAAGAGTTTTCTATTGGCTGGAAGTAGAGTTAGTATTGTTTTTTATTGGCTTTTAAGAGTTTTCTATTGGCTGGAAGTAGAGGAAGTAGATTGATTAGCGGCTATGTTAAGTGGATGAGACTAATTTCAGAGCCATGCTTGATTTAGAATAAAAAATAAAGAGCTGAAAATGAAATAAATTGTATAAATATTAACTTGTTATCCCAATGTATAAAATATTATGACAATCCATCTTATTGTACAAAATTTTATCTTATTATTTATTATGCATTTCGGAGAGCTACTCTGTTGCACAAGGCAAAGGGAGAATTACTGTCCGATCCTGAAAGCAGAAGAAAAATTCATTTATTTTTCCTTAACTCTTTTCCCCATATAATTTTTCATACATCTAGGTTAATCTGTAAGCAAAGAAATAAATTAAAAATAGTATATTTGTAGAAGGGCTCATTTATGGTTAGAAATTTTACATTTGTTTTAAACTTAATGAACTATCCAAACTGTTTATTTATGAAGCCTTAGGGAAAATTACTTAAAACATCTTTTAAGTGAATGTGAAACTGAATGACTGAATGTAAAAATCCAAAACGTAAATTCATTTGATTATAACTTAACAATTATTGAATTCACTTTTAAAATTACTTTTTCATTATCTAAATTTGACACTAATATGAATAAGACACTGCTAAAAAATTGAAAAATGTTTTAACTGAAAAATTTAATGCAAAATTTTGCAAATGTAATTTTATATGTTTTAATATTGTAAGTATTTATATGAACAACTATCTGATATTGTAGTATTATGAAAATAAATAAAAAAATACCTAAAAATAAAATATATTTTAGGCATCAAGATGGACTTTGCAAGCAACAAGACTGAATGGAGAATTTGTATGATATTTCTCATTTTCTTTAACTAAGTATATTGATATGTTAATTAATGCTGCAGATTCACTAAAATATGAGTTAAAATTTTCTGTTTAAAAACATATTTTAGAAAGCAATTTTACTAATATTAGCAGATACTGCATTTGGTTTTAGATATGGTAATCTGTAATGGTACTCTTTACGTGTAAATAGCATTTATAGAAAGGAAAAGAATCTCTGTTACATAAATTATAATCTCATAAGGTTAAAAAACATTATTAATAGCAATATTTCACTTCCTGTTCATTGCAATACAGCAATATTTTATTTTTCCCCTCGTACGATAAGAATAAATTATTATCATACCAAAATTTAAAATCTTCGATATGGTTTTTGTTATTTTGTTAAAATAAATAAATTGTTATAAATGCAAATTTATATTTAAAGCATTTAGCTGAAGAGAATTTTCATAGCGAGCAATCGAAAGCTGACAACTGAAGTGTAGAAATTAAGCAGGGAGCATAAAGTGGTCAAGGGCACTTTTCTTACTAACAATGAATGCGAGATGTCATTGTCATTTTTAATTGTGTCATCAGTGTCATTTTTTAATTTTTATTTCAAAACAAAGTAAGTTATTTAATAATTGATTAAATATATTAGAATTATTTGAAATAAATTCAAATCTGAAAATTTAATATTTAGCTGTCGATGCGTTTGAATTACGAAGTGTAATTAACAGAAATTTCTTACAGATACCAACTTTTAGATTTCAAATAGAAAATAAATACATATTGTAATTTTTTTCCTTTTCGTTATTATTATTATTACTGTTAATGTATGTTTTGAAAAACGTTCGTAAATCAAATTTAAAATTTAGTTTATGGTATGTCAAAAATCTTTTAATTTGGGTAAAAAATAAAATCAAATAGAAAATAGCCCGGTAGCTGCTTTTAGTTGGCACATTCGGCCCGCATGCAGTTTGAATTTGAGATCACTGTTTGCTGATTCTCATCACATATTAATTTAAATTTTAGGTTGCGTTTTAATAATTTGGTATCAGAGTTTTATTACATAGTAAATTTTATTATAATATTAGAGTCATTTCTGTCTCAAACCTCAGTCAGAATAATGATATATCCGTTTAATTATGATCTATGACAGGATCAAATATGAGGCGTTGTAAACTAAGTTATACATTTTGTCTGCTTCATAACATTTGGCTTCCATTTACGCTAGTATAAGTTAGATGTTTTCTCATTATATGTTATCTCAAAATAGCTATGAATTATATCTCCATTTATTTGTTACAAACTTTTAAGGTAACATTTTGAGCTTTTATTTATTAAGAACGTTATATTGTAAATGCAATGATATGACTATTGAAGTACTATTTTCCTTTTACAGTATGGGTATCATATCAAACCTGATCAAATGCAAGTTATCAATCCCTTTCTGATTATCATATTTGTTCCACTATTTGAATATTGTATCTACCCCTTAGCATCCAAATGCAATTTACTTAAAAAGTAAGTCCATTAAAATACATTATCTTTGCATCAAAATGATCAAGGAATATTTTTTGTCGATATGTTTTCACATTTACATAGTGTAATTGTATTATAAGTCCTTTAAACATATTTAAATAAAAAAAAACCTTATCTTGTAGACTTTCTTTCAGGTGGAGATATTTTCAGTTTAAAGTCCCATTAAATTAAATAAATTTGTATTAGAAATTATTGATTTAAATAAACTGTGTAATATCTTGTAATTGAAAAGAAAACTAGTAGCTAAAGTATCTCCCTTTAATAGAAATTAAAGGGAAGTGTGTTTACACGATAAGCAGAATTCAATGTTATCAAATACTGCAAAAAATGCAAAATCATTTGCGGCCAGATGCTATGTCCAAAATAAATAAATAAATAAGCATTTTCCCAATGTTGCATATTTTCTATTTGTGGATGCTGATGGTTGGCGAAGAGAAACGTGCAGGTTAGAAAAGTTGTATTTCAATTGAAAGAACCTTCGCATTGGAGCTGATGGGCTAGCTATGACAGTCGCTCATTCTTATTTATTATCGCTATTAAATATATTAATTAGTATATTTTATTGTCTCTTTATGGTTGTCGTAACTCTAAAAATAAGCATTTCATAAAGCAGACGATTTCAGTTTATTGGTCAATATTTATTACGCTTCCTTCAAAGTTATTTTCTCCGATTGCAATGAACTTAGCCCAAATTATTTTTCAATCTTCTAAATGTATATTAATGTTGGTTTTCGCGAAACTCTTTCATGATTCATAGCGAATTTTCTTTTGTTGCATTAATAAACACATGAAGGTGGTCACGAAATAACAATTTTAATCGTGGAGATTTAAAAAAAAAGCACACACACAAGGTGATATACCGTCTCAGAAGTTTTATATTCATTGTATCCGCTGAATACGGAGCTTATGGAACGGTATTTGTTTAATTTTTGGCTACAAATTCATGAACGACATGAGCGTTATAAGAAAGTGCAAATGCGTTATGAGTAGAAAAGCAAAAACAGCTTTACTAGGGCAAAATTCATGAGTCATCTCGCCACATTCAGGTCGCTTTCTGTGAACCGCTTTACGCAAATGCTGTAAAACACTCAAATTTGATTCGTTATTAATAGTTTAGTTCGTAGGAGTTCATGGTGCATGGTGTACAAAAGAACGACAGTCGAAGGGAACAGTATTACATTAATTTTGACAGAAGGTGAAGAGTTCTCTCCGGTTATGGTTCATCTTTCGAGTTCTATTCACTTGATTCATGAATTATTTTCAGGGCCCACCAGCGGCCGAGCGGTAAAGTCACTGAACACTGGTAGTTCGGTCCGAGGCTCGAATCCCGTGAACGGGCTGGCTGCATGGGTGTTTTCGTGGTTTTCCCCATGTGTAACGTGTATACGAGCCAGTTTCCCTTAGAAAGTCCTCCACGAGGGCATCCCTCCCCTTAGGCAGATAGCCCTAGTGTGCTTTGCCATAATTAAATACACACCACATGAATTATTTTCATGCCACGTTTTGTAATGAGTAATAATGTGTTAAAAAAACTGGTTTTAAGAAAGTGTTTCCTTGGATACTTATTTTATTTATTTATTTTTTTAAAAAAAGTTCAGCATTATCGGAACTACTCAAGATGGGACACGTCGCAAACCTAAATGATCTTTCAGTTTCGCTTGACAGGATCCAAGTGAGAACAGAAATTTATTAAATGTTATTCTTCGATTCATACGATCGCTAAGCATTAGATCTTCGACTTCGTCGGCACTTGATCGACGAGTTGTTCATTGGTTGAAATGGATAATTTATCAGAACGTGATTCATTTTCGACGCATTTTCTGTCTTCCTTAATAATGTTTTATACCATTATAAAGTCTTGCTTTTGATAAATTTATTGTTTATGACTCTTGCCATTTTGCAGCATTTTAAACATTTTTGTAGCAGAAATATGCTTCGAAAATAAAATTTAATGTATGTGCTTTCCACGATAACATTTCGATCAATCGCCAAAAAATTCTTAAGAAGAGACTTCAGTAATTAATAGCTGTCGTCTTCCTCAGCTACAACCTTTCCCTATTGCCTTTTTCAGTTACAACTGAGGGAGGCGATTGTGTTGAATCGCTGAATGCACTTTTGTCAAAATAAAATTTACGTCAGTTAACGAAACGTTTTCTTTTCGTTAGTTTTTTTTTTTTTTTTTCTTGTGTCATTCTTTCCCAATTTTTATCCTGTTTAAAAATTATTCCTGTTAAAAATATTACATACTTCACGCCAAACATTCATTTATAAATGATCAAATTTATTTATTGCTTAGATCCTTTAATAAATGTTTTCCTTTTGTAAATTTAGACCTTTGCAAAGGATGGCAGTAGGAGGTATACTCACTGCAGCATCATTTGTGATTGCTGGCTTTCTAGAATTGAAGCTTGAAGTAAGTTTGAATTTGATTTAGTTACAATTTATATATTTTGTATGAGTAAAATTCAATATATACACTGCGGAAGAAAAAAAAAAAAAAAAAAAGAAAAAGAAAAGAAAAGGGGGGACAGTTTAATATCTTCCGTTCTACCGCGCCGATTGAAGAAATTCAACCTGCGTTTTTCCTGTCTCGAATGCGCGACTTAGGATATGCATTAGATTTATATATAGCATTATTCTAATATAGGCATTTTGACACAAAATCGGACTTTTTCTGAAATAACATACCAATTTTTTTTTCATATTTCGATTCTACGACTCAAATTACGCCAAACTACCAAGTTTTGTAAAAATCGTACGAGTAGTTTTTAAAAAATTAGCTCTCGGAATTTTAGCTCCTCAATGTTAATTGAGTTTGCTATATATTTATTAATCTCTCTTTTTTTTAAATTAAACATATTTGATTCTTCCTTTCACATTTTAAAATTTAGGTTCATTCCAAATAAAATTTACTCATTTTTATGATTATTTTTAAAATTTGTATTTTTAAATAATTTTTATAAATTTTCAAAAAACATTTTGAATTATAATCTATAAAAGTTTTACCTTCATCTTAAAGTAGACGTATTTCTAAGCATACCTGTAAAAAATTACAGGTTTTTTATTCAAAATTTCCGAAGATATACGTGAATTTATGTATTGGCGCGTTTTAAAATTTGGCATGTTTGTTGAAAGCGATAAAATATCAAGTGTGGCTTAGACACTTTGCTAAAATTATTTAGAAGCAGAAAGGCTGTGACTTTTTTTCCGTCATGCACAATGTAAAAAGGTAGGAACAATGTGCCTTTTTTTCCGCTCCAGCATAATGGAAGGGAAAGAAAAATTGGTTGCCACATATTAAAAGATTCGCCAAGTGAATTTTTCTCGGCGCAAACTAAAAAAATCGTGCCAAGGTAAATTTTTGAATTTTTCCTTAAATTTCGCACCAAATTTTACAGAATTTAATATCTAGGCATAATTTGAGTCGTAGAATCGAAATATGTAAAACAATCGGTATGTTATTTCAGAAAAAGTCCGATTTTGTGTCAAAAAACCTATCGTTAGAACAATGCTATATATAAATATAATATATATCCTAAGTCGCGCTTTCGGGACAGATGAAAAACGCAATTTGAATTTCGTTAATCGGCCCAGTAGAACGGGAATAGCTTTTTTTTTTTTTTTTTGTTTAGCAGTGTACATTATATATATATATATAATTGTTATAACATTCTTTATTAAATACTAAATAAATCACATGCATATATAAACTACATAACTACCGCCATTATAACATCCACGTTTAGAGTCTGTTACTTTAAAATGGTCTCTTTAAAACCGTTGCCAGCCACCCCCCAATTTGCGATTGTGCTGTCTTCATCGCACAGCATTTTTTTTGCCACTTTGCTTGAGACTGTAGGTTAAGTCAGCCTTCATTTGCATTCTTTTCGTGAAGCAAAACACGCTAAACGGAAATGAAATGGATGAAAAATGTTTACCGAGTCGACTTAAATTCCGCAGCTGTTTTTCCCACGGTTACGTCATGGATTCATATCGGGCTAAAAAAATAATCTTGAAATTTTACAGACTACAGTTCAGAGATTTCAATTCACGCCTGCAGTATACTGGTTATTGATATGTCTGAAAATAAATACATAACAATGTATCACTGACATTTCCTAAGTTTCCTTTCTATACAGTAACAGAATAATCAAAGTAATTATACTTAATTAGCCAGATTTCCTTTAGTTCTAACCAGAATATGTTCTCGTCAGCTATTCACTTACATTTCTATTGCGACAAATTCCAGGTAAAAAGTATAGAAAATTGAAAATGGTATATGTATTGTGATTATTATCAGTTGTCATTCATATTCTGATTTCGTAATGGTAAATCGATAAACCTACGTAATTTGTTTTACCTGTGAAAGTAAGTACCAATTACTTGCTTTAGTATAAAAGTCTGAAAAATGTGCAAAAAATTATATTAATCGCTTTGGTTTCATGTCTAATTTTTTTAGTTAATTATTTGCATTTTATTTGAAGACTACGAATTAAGAAGAAAATTCCTCTTTTTCTATCAAAGGGAACAAAATGTTATAAATAAGGTAAATTTAGCATTTGGAATTTTTTTGACAGTTTTCAAGTCAAACCCAGCTGTAGTTATTGGTGGGATACATATTGTTACGTTATTTTCTTCCTTGACGTTTGTACGGGGTTCGTAGATTTGGAGTGAATAACGACGACACTTGATGAAGTATCAAAAGACACTTTATTGGACAGTAATTCTCAGGACAGCACCAAAATCACGTTTTTTTACAGGCGTCGAAGAACTAAACACTCTGTAACAATCAGCGACACAGCCTTTAGGCAGTCAGGCTATAACGGTGAAGACAGCTTCACAGCAAAGCCCCAGAGTACAGCTCCCGAATCTGCTTTGTCGTTCTCGGAACTCTACGTATTCTCGAGACTCTCCACGCTACAACTAGCGATGCACTCGACGATACACAAGAGTACAGCTCTCGACTCGGTTAAGTCGTTCCCAGAGTTCCACACACTCTAAGATGAAACTCGACGATGCACTAACTCGCGATATTCTAAGAGATTCTATCGATGCATTCGAAGACCAACTCGGCACACACAGAGTGACTTATCAACTCGATGGACTAACTAGCTCTCCGCGTACCAAGGTTTATATAGCTTTCGGCTTGTGTTCGAGAACATTCTGGGCTAAACTAGTAAGAGTTCGTTCCATATCGCCAATTTTGTGTCCAAATGGTCGATTTCTCGTCAAATGTGGCAACCTTGCCTTCCCTAGCAATTTTATGGCAACCCTAAACCTACCTTGCGGTAAGCTATCTTACCGCGCCTGGCCATTTCGTAACAAATCTCCCACACGTAGTGATCGAGTTACTATAAGCACACCTATTATCATGGAAAACTTTATTATATGAAATAGATTTTACATCGTATAGTACAGGGTAAAACATTCTTTGCATAACCCACCATTACACATTGCACAATTCATATTTGTTCTCTGTGTTCATTTGTATACAACGAACACAGCGGCGTCTTGAATTTCCAACTACCGGAAGATGATACACAACATTCAGGATATTCTAAGTAATTTTTAAACTTTTAGTTGGACATATATGCCCCATTAGTAGTCAAAGGGTTTAACAACGTTATATCATAGTTATACAGATAAAATACATACAGATATAATAGATAATTTAGTTTTAATGCCTGTGGTGTTAAGAGCTGTTTGTTATGAAGACAAAATATCAGTGAATGCAAGAAAACTGAAGAATTATTATTTCTTATAAGGATGGGATGTAAGAATAGGTAGTATGGCTGTTTAGATATTTGTAAGTGTATACTGTCTGTGCAGTATGGAGGTACTCGAAATATTGGTGACCAAACCACTCAAAAATCTTATCGAGTGGTTTTGGGGTAGGAAAACATGGAAGGGAAAACCATCGGATCCTTCCTTCGTGGTGCTTCTCTTCAAAATTAGGACGGAACTTCCCCGTTCGTACGGGGGTCAAATTGAATCTGTCCTGTGGTACATCTTAAGCAACGTTGTCGGTTATAAAACGGCTAAATGGTGATGAATTTCTGATGAATGCAAGAATCTGGTCATTTGGAAAAAACAACAACAAATTGTTATTTGCAATTACCGTCGCATAACTTAAAATTATCGTCGGTGATATGATCACTGCATCTGTATAACGTATGAAAATAATGAAAGGAAATAGTAGATCATTATCTCGTTTCAGATATTTAGAAGCAAGAAAAGAAATTTTTAAAATACTTATCATGTAACCTCGAATAGAGGTACAATACAAGCCAGTACTTAAGTATTATTTTTAATTTTAGGCTTTATCTTACAACCTGTACATGACACAATAGAAATTATATTATATTAACTGGCACTTATATTATATTAACTGGCACTTATATTATATTAAATTATTTTATATTAACTGGCACTTATATTATATTAACTGGCACGTAGTGGTTTTCTCAGGGATCGCTTACTATTTTCTGTAGTTCGACAAATTGCTAGATTGCTAGGTCTTACGTTTACCAAATAAAAAGATAAAACTTGTATAATTTTGTAATGAAGTAACATTATTGTTTTTATAACAGTTTTTGCATTTATTATTTCTTTCAGGGATTAGATCCCGTTTTCCCAGCACCGGGCTATACGGAGATGACCATAATAAACAACTCACCATGTTCGATAAAAATAGACAAAGTCGGAAATTTAACAGTTGACACAAGAATTGAAGCTTTTGACGTAATAAAAATTTCTTTATCATTTTGTAAAAATATGTTATTAGATAAATAAGAATTCGTTTGCTTATTTTGTTAAAACCGTTTCTCTTCATTCGTCTTTAGATCTCCATTACGTAAAGGTAAAGTTTATTTTATCTATAATTATATGATTATTAGTAGGAGTAAAGCACGTACTTAAGCATTTTTATATATTTTATCGCGAAGAACTCACAACTTTAAGTTTTATTTAATTTTTTTTTTTTTTGGTAATTTTACTCTTAATTTTTATATATTAGTAATTATCTAAAACTAGTAGTGAGATTCATTTATTTCGTACTTGTTCTTAAATATTTGCAATTCGGTTAACAAATTGTTAAAACTGAATTGTAATATTCAGCAATTTATCGCCTTTTATTAGCTAATTTTACTGCTTATTTAAGAGAGAACTGATTTTAAAAATTTCTCAATCCCACAACTTTCTGAGATGCATTTTGACACCATAATTTAAACCCTTTTATTTCATGATACAACTTGTTTAGTTTTTATCACAAAGCTTTTTAAAACTTAAATTTATCAACAAAATCTGTTCAAAGAGAAGACCTTCGGTTTAAGTATAATTAACAAAAGCCTCTTCGTCTCTTCTCCCATCTTTGCGGTTGCATGGCTGCTGAAGAAAAGGAACAAAATCGCATTTGCATACCAAAATACTGCTAGTGACCAAGCTGAGTCCGTAGCTAATTAATTTAATTTCTAAGTTTGCCCTAAACAACGTCTTTGGCCAACAAATAGACTACAATGTATTACAAAACACCTAACAAAACCATCCACAGACAACGTTATGCTGTCTGTGGATGGTTTTACTAAGTTCTGCTATTACTAAGTCGCCTGTTAGGCTCGGCTGTTACTAAGTATCCCAGTCAAACCGTCAAGTGCACTAAGAAACAAGAACGAGCCCTGGGATTGACCGGACATGTAACAGAATGATCAGAATAATTAGGGAATGATCAGTTATGTCGATTGACAAACATTATCAATCTCTCTATCCAGATATGTTGTTTCCCATTATTGAAGATAACAGCAGTAATCGGTGCGATATCGAAGCCAGGAACATCATCACATGACCTTTGTTTCATATCATTCGTCGAAGAGTGCTCGACCACGCCGTGAAGAAAAAGTCCTTGCCTTGTAACAGCATGGCTTCTGTGGAAAACACTCCATCTTTCAACAGGTATTGAGAGTAGTAAACACAGTCTACTATATATATCCTATAATATCTATACGTTGGAGGTTTTTTCCTTGGCATCACAAAAGCTGTTCATTGTGTTTGACTGGATGAGATAATTTACTAATTATTCTAGGTTCCCCAGCCTACATTACACACATCATTAACTCCTGGCCACAAATAAAAATGATAGGGAGAGTACTAATTTCTTTCTAAATTCAATACTTGAATGGGCACGGCCCATTCCCAAACGCAGGGAAAGTGGAGATTCTGATCCCCTCTTTGCAAATCTCCGCTGTTATTTTCAAAATGTTCCAATGTTATTGTCAAATATCCGTTAATGACTGTACATCACAGCGAGCTCCATACGATAGACGTATTATTTTTCAAAAGATACTTAGTAACAGCCGAGCAGGTGAAGTGTAAAATAATTAAAACAGTTATTCTTCTCCAGTCCTACGGTACTGAATTGTGTCACCTATAGACAATACCCAAACAGCTCATCCCTCTTCAAAACCATGACCCATTCCTTACAGCTTATTGATATAATACTTTATCTCATAATAGCAGCTTTGTAAAATGAACAATAAGTTTAATAATAATACCAAATCTTGCTGCGAAGGAGAAAATTTGCAAAAGATAAGAAGCCTCATCAAATAAAGAACACTCGCTACTCATTATCAAATTCAGTTTCCAAAGTATAACATCCCATTTCCATATTTAGATTCGATATTGTACACTGACTACCAATAAGTATTTGGACACCTGTGATAGAAAAGAAAAACTAACTTTATTCAAAATCAATAGCTAGTAGAGCCTCCACGAGAGCTAATTACAGCGTGGACACTCCGGTACTTTCCACAAGTCTTTGAATGACAGCTAGTGGTATTTTCTTCCACTCGGCTTGGAGAAGACATAGAAGTTCCTTCAATGATTTTGTACGGGTAGTGCACCTCTGAATTCGGCGATGCAACTCGTCCGAGAGGTTCTCGATAGGGTTCAGGTCTGGACTCTGGGCAGGCCAGTCCGTTCGATGAATTAATTATTCTAGGTTTATTCTTGGCACCATACCAAGCCTTGGTTAACGTCGGACAACTGGCATTGTCGTCCTGAAAGTAACAGGGGTCCAACCCGTAAAACTGCCACAACGTAGGAACCATCCAAAACAGTCACAAAATAGTGCAGTATTGTCATCCAAAATATTGTCATCCAAAATAGTCATCCAAAATAGTGCAGTATTCCAAAAATTATATATTATATATATATTATATATAACAATATCCAAAAATTGTCATCCAAAATAGTGCAGTAAGCATCGGAGTTGAGCTTACCATTAATGGGGACCAAGGGTCCCAGCCCATACCAGGAGAAACACCCCCAGACCATAATTCCACCTCCGCCGAACTTGACTGTTGGCACAATGCATTCTGTCAGGAGACGTTCTCCAGGTAGACGCCAGACCCAGACCCTGCCATCCGAACGGTAAAGGGTGAACCCAGATTCGTCACTCCAAAGAATCTGTTTCCACTGATCTACGGTCCAATTTCGATGTGCTTTGCACCACATTAACCGAGCAGCGCAGTTGGACTTTGTGATCAAAGGCTTATGGGCAGCAGCCGACCATGAAAACCAAGCAGATGTGCTTCCTTACGGATGGTATTCATTGAAACAATACTCGCGGATGCCTGTTGAAACTTCTCGCGGATGAGGGCCATTGGTTGGGTGCGGTTCTTCCGAATTTCTCTGGACAGCACTCGTCGGTCTCCATCTCCCAGTTTCGTTGGTCTGCCGACTCGGGGCACATTCCGACAATCACCGCTCACCTTCCACTTCTTAATCACATAGGCCACTGTCGATTTTGGCTACTTCAGATCGCTAGATATGTCCATTAAGGATCGGCCACATTTGTGATACCCGATAATTATACCTTTCTCGAAATCAGAGAGCTCCGAACTGCGAGGTATCTTGCATGCGACTAAAGCTGATGCTGTTTCCTACACGATAAATACCGGCGGAGTGTGACGTACCTTAGGACCGCAGATATCGTCATTTGCACAGGTGTCCAAATACTTATTGGTAGTCAGTATATAAATGTAATGAACAGAAAGTCATACAATGGAATGCAACTCATCAATTAGTGTTTTGTCTTAGAAAAATAATACGGAGAAATGATACCTTTTCGTTATTGCGCATATTAGGTGTTCCCCATACTTCTATGTGTCTATCTATCTGTTGACAGAACCTTTGTTGTTCGCCTTCATACACAAAATCCACACCCAGCAAATTAATGCGGGCTTTCCACATGCATCTTTATTGGGCCCTGTAATATTTCTAATTTATGTGATGACTTTCTCCCAACATTACTGTTGCACTATAAGCTGATGAAACAGCAATCCTCCCACAAAATGCGTCAAAAAAGTAGTGGTCATGTTTACCAGACGTCCCTGTAATCATTATAATATAGTTATTCCGTGAATCAAGCAGTCAAAATATCTTGGATTAACAAGAAAGCTCCATATTTCACTAGTGATCTTCTATGTTCGGGAAGTACAAACCTTCACTCTTCCCCTTAATTTGTCGGAACTGTGTTCCTTCCTTAGATAACCAGTTACTCATCTATAAGATCATATTGCAGCCCATTCTTACCTATGCTTTGTCCCGTCTGGAGTTTTCCTTACTCAACCAACTTCGAAATATTACGAAGGAATAAAAACATTATATTTAGATTAATTCCTAGATCATGATGGTTACATGGTAGCATCACCATACATGAAGAATTAGGACTCCAAATCTTAGCTACTTTCATGGCAAAAATTACTAAGAAAATTTTGAGAAATAGGTGCAGAGCTAATGATACTTAAATTCCAGTCCTAAAGTATAAATATTATTCTAAATCTACAATTCTAATTCTAATCGAAGGCAATTCTCAGTGTTAAATTAATATTTTATTATTTTCCGAAACACCCTCCACAACGTATCAGCCTTTTGATTTCCAAAAAAAGTGTATGGTTTTTTTGAATTGAGTCTTCCTTCTTTCTTGCAAAGCGTACTCATTTCTGTATCCTCTTTACTTTCAATCAACAGGTTAGCTTTCTCCAACGTACGAATCTCCTGCATACATGTGACCTTCTGACCAGAATTAACTCGCCTGGCTTCCTCCGTCACAGTTATTGCTATCGCTGCTACCATTCTATGTGATACGTTAGGTTCTGCTGAAGCAAATCTGGTGCCTAATACTTATATGAAATTTTACTGAAATTTTGCTACCCAGACATCCTTCCATCGGGACATGCGGCCACCAAAGAAAACGAGTATAGATCTCTCAGGAGTTCTCGAAATTAATATCTACATCAATCTAATGTCTTTTTTCCAGAATTTTAAATCAAAACCTTCTTTAGATTTATTTTATTACTGAGAAGAATATAGTAGTAAATAAATTTCTTTGTTAGTAACGAAAACTTTACATTTTCTTTGGAAGCCTTATAAGAGAAAATGACAGAATAAAAGACCACGAACACTTGATTTTCAAATATAATTTCGTTATTTAATTAATTTTAATAATATTTTTTATATCTTTTATCATGCCTGTACAAAATATATGTTTCAATGCTTATGATTTAAAATTATGTTTGTGACATTACTTAGTACTTACGCAATTTCTGTTGTAATGAATCATGATTTCAAGCTTCTTATCTTCGCAATGTGTTATTTGTTTACTTTAAAGAATATTTTCAAATAAAATAAATAAAATATTAATGTTTATGATAATATAACTTCTTATTCTAGAACAAAATTGTGGGTAACATTGCGCGAAATACACTTAATGACTGGGAATTCGTTACAGAAAATTGTACCGAATTATCTGAGCCAGAATTCAAGAAAACTTTCAATTCCACTAGTGATATTGAGTCAATGATGATAACTATTTATGATAGAAAACTTGAAGTTTTGAAGGTAAATTTATTTTCTTCACATGTTATGAAAAATTTTTATCCTTTACAATTATTTTATTTCACTGATAAGTCATGACATCATTACACAGTCATGGCCTCGCCCGGTATTCTTCTTTGTACAAAATTGCAAACTTCTAATAATAATTCACTTTTATTACTTATCTAAACGTGGAGTTTTTACAACTCTTATTGTTGAATAATTATTAGTAATTTTAAAAATCATTCTTTTTATTTTTATCTAATTCAATCTTTAAGCCTCTTATATGTTCGATATGAGACACCTGTGTTAATATATGAGCTATGAGACACTCAAGCAAATGTATACATCACTATAAATTTTAAGTGCGCGTAAAAACGGAGATTAAAATAGAAGTTAAAAGCAAAATAGAAGGTCAATTGAAGCTCATAAATGATTTCTTCTACTGACGTATTCTCAGGAAGACAAAAGCTGAATCAAAATTTGAGTTTTGGTGTCCCTCAATCACGGAAGTTATTGCTTTCCAATTACATAAAAGAAGAACCATCCAAGAAGCAACACTTGCATACACACGTCTTTGTATCGAAGGCTCATTTTAAGCATCCAGACTAGAGAGAAATTGACTCAGATCCAAAGTAACTAATGTTCTCAGAAACCATCGTAGTAACATTATGGTAACTACACTAGTGTGCAAAACATAAACAACTTTTCTGATTTTTCCCGCCATGCCACAAACTATCAACTGGGACATGAAATACATACTACAGAGGCACAATGCTGTGTTTAAGGGATGTATATAAAAAAAAAAAAAAAATTAAAGGCCGCATACCGTATGGAACGAATAGAAAAAGGGCTTTTTTTATAAACAGAGCGGCACTGGTGCAAAAACCTGTCTAGCCAGTCAGTTTTACTCACCATTCCTGCAACTTAATGCAACTGTGGGAAACCTATAGCTCACTCCTAATCTTGGTAGAAGGAGCAGGTTGAGAGGACTGAGTGCAAACTATCACTTTGTTTCAACTCCATAAATTAGGCAGGAGGAAACGATCTGTAAGACACTGGGTGTTGTAAGCAGAAATCATAAGGTGCGTTTTGGCAAAGTGAAATTATAAACAGAGGGCCAAACTGGGGAATTCTCTATCTACGATAAACCAGCCCTACGATCCATCTGACTGAAAGATTCGTCGGGGATAAAAGTCTCGCCAACAGATCTTTTTATTTTATGGACCTCAATCTCAATCCATTTACTTTCAGGAATTACTTTTATTTAATTTTAAAATTACAATAGAAAACAAAGTACAAAAGAAAAAGGTACAAAAAGAATATATAGACAATATTTACATTAAAGAATGAGGATGTAATGGCTGTGCTATACATTTACATAAGTCGAATGGAATTTATATGTTTACATAGATTCTTTAAGTTGATGCTCTTTGTCGTTATCATTTTGATGATTTGCATGATTCGGACGAAATTTGGATGATTACATGAGTTCTATAAAGTTTTGCTCTTGATCCGTTAGTGTTCTGATGAGGAGTTTAATTCCCTTAACGCCTACAGTTTTCTAGGTGACTCATCTCAAGTGACGTCAGAAATGGGGAGAAAACACCTTTCCTTTCCTGTGCCATAAGAAGACAGGTTGTTATGTAGTAGGAGGCGTTTACCAAGGAGCCACTTGTGCCGCAGACGCATCTGACTTTTTTCTTGTGTATTCTCTACAAGTAACTGGAGAATTTCCTATGATTTGTTAATCCCTGGTTTTTCATAGAAGTCTTTTTGTGGAGACTTGCGGGGAAAACTTGATAGGTAGTTTTGCCGATGGTTCATTCTGTCCATCTTATCTGCCATATATTTAGCATATCCTTTTGTAATCTGCTTTTAAATACTTCTTCCAATAGTGGGACTTCGAGATTTATTTCCTCGTTTTGTTTGGCTAGTTTGGCTTTTTGATCTGGCCTTGATTTGATCCGTGTTTTGGAGCGTTTTTATCAATTTTTTTTAAGCTTTGTATACTTTTCTTTGAGATCTTTGCGCTGTTTAGACTGTGCAGAGTGCTCTGTCCAAGAGGAAGAACAAAACACCAAAGAGCTTTAGTAAGAACCTGGTTGCATTGCATTGTCTTTCGATACTCAACACCAGATTATCTAACAGTTCTAAAAAGCTCTATTCTTCAAGGAGTATGCTTCAGTTGTCTGGTGTTCTCCGGAGGATAATATAGTGCCACCAGGCGTCTTCCTCAAGTATCCCACATACGTTCAATGGAATTTAAATCCTGAAAGCACTCTCGCGAATCCATTCTGTGACCTCATCACTTTTAAGTAGCTCCTCAACAGCATAAGTCCTGTGTAGCCGTGCATTTTCATCCATAAAAAATGAAGCCTGGACTAATGGCATCCCAGAAAAGACGCACGTGGGGCAGGATAACTTCATCAGCAACGTACGTCAAACTGAAACAACTCTCATGGGTAAAGAAGAAATAATTCCATTGCTGAGATCCACGATTCCATTGTTGAGATCTACGATCTTTGGGCTCTCTACACCACTGTCGACGTGCTGCGCATGGATAGCTGTCAGTGGTGTGCAGCGTTGACTGCGGGCGAATAGGCCACCATTATGAACTCGTCTAAAACTCGTTAAAAATGGATTTACTGGTAAGTTTCGCTCACTAGTGTATAATGATATAATGAAGGCATTCTGTAATCTGTTTAGGATCTTTCAAAACACAAACATGGAAAGGATTGTTATCATAGCAGCATTACATAAGCAGAGCGTTGCAGTGATAGAGCATCATTTCAGAAGATCTCTTTGGACATTCTGGAATCATTGCTTCGCACATTTCACAGGGAAAAATACATCTAAGTTGACTTGGATTAGTTGGCGACTTATGTTTCCTTTCTAGTAGCTTTGAAGATAATCACTTTGGAATATTCCTTCTTATTCACTTAATGATGAGTTTTATGTCAGCCATTTTCAAAAGTTTATCTAATGTCCCTTGTCGCAGAAAATACTTCAGACTTTTCTGAAACCATTAGAACATGGTGAAGAGATTTAATTGTGTGAGCTTTCTTTCTTTTTCGCTATTTGTAAACCAAAGACAACCAGACTCAACAAAATTGTCACTGCTTGCGTGCTGTAGCGTCGTCCTTCAGTGAACCGAAATTTCTTGATTCCAAATTATCTTCTTTGCTCTTCTGCCATATATTCCGTTTTGTTCGCCGTTGTTTTGATTGCTATGATACTTAAAGCGCAATGAATTTATTATATGGATGGCAATATCTACTTTATCTCCTAATCAGAACCTGCAAAAGCTGCAAGCATATTAGATGTCATTAGTCGACTTCCCTAAGAAAAGATTAATACAATTCAATAGATAAAGATTTGGTATAGTGGAAAAGTGATAAAGGAGAAAGACATGGTTTTGAGGAGAACTTAAAATGTCTACAGACTTTAATACAAGTTGTATATATTTTGGAAAGCACTATATGCTAAATAATACGTTTTGTTTGTTTAATTAATTCCCGAAAGCTTATAAAGGCTATTTGCCTACGAAGCGATATGCCTTCGTATAGGGTTATCATTCATGTAGGACGTCAGGAAAACCACAGAAATTTCATGCAACTGGCCCATTTCCTGGGATTTTAACCGAGGTTGGAATGATGAACGGGTAACTATTCCGTAACTAGTATCCTAGGAATGATTATTGCAGTATTTTATATAGCATAACAAAAAATGTTTTCCATTGAAATAATATCGAAGTTGTACCTTGTTCATGATATTAATTTATAATTTGTCTAACGGTTCTCATTTTCAATGTTTGCGCTTTAGGGTACTGCTTTAAATCACCATACGCTACATCTTTTTATTTAAGCAAAAAAATGTATAAATTATATGAATTAATAGTTTTATGAAGTTCCTGTTCAGGATAAGTTTTTCAAAAGCAGCGAATTAGTTTCAAATGTTATGCTGTTACACGGATAAAAATTGTGGTAGCATTTCCCCAAATATAATTAACTTATTTTCTGGAGTTTGGCAAGACCTTACGATATAAATCAATTCACGAAATTTGACCACCTTCGCTGATACTCTAATGCACTTAGATGTGTGTGAGAACAGTGACTAATTTAAACAGTTCAATAACATGCTTTCATTCATTTGTTTACGGAGAAGTGAGCTGATATTGTTACTGTGATCTTTAATGTTACTATTGATGAATAATTTTAGTTCCTCTTATTAAGCTACACTCAATTAAAGAAGGAACTAAAAATATTAGAAAAAGATCCTTCATCATGGATCACACACATCCATTAGTAAATATTTCGATCCTGTTCTTTTTGGAGTGTGTGTTCACATGGTCCCGATAACCATTAGAAACATTAATTAAGAAATTATCTCAGTATCCCACATTTTTTGAATTCCTTCACTGAGATTTGTGAACATTGCAGCACCATGAAGCAATCGGCAAACTATAAATAACTTTATGCTTCATTTTGCTAATGATAATAAAAATAAACGACAAAAGTTTAACATTAATACAAACACATTTCTGCCAAAAAATCAGTACTTTGTCAAGCTCAGGCGAACTGCAGTAAAGGATTCTATATGTGACGGCATCAAATATGAAATTAAAGAGGCTTTTGATATATTCCAAAAATACCGCCGATCAGCCTGCTTTGATACAGCTAAACAATTTATTGGTAAGAACCGCCGAGATATAGGCCAGTGACTGATAGATATAGGCCAGTGACTGAGTGATCATATTCTATACATATTTAATCGGAGATAAGTCTGGAGAACAGTGGCGTAGCTAGGAGGGAGCAAGGGAATATGTTCCTGTATGAGATCTTAAGTGTGTATATAACATCATATCATCAATGCTAGTCAGAGCAGAAAAAAATCAGCAATTTCTCGCCGGGATTCGAATTTTGAACCTCGCGATTACTAGTCGGACGTGCTTCCAATTATACCACAAAGGCATGCGGTAAGAAGGGAGGAAATACCTTACATCTTGAACGTTATAAAAGTGGAATACAGAGGCCTCACATATCCCGGACATTTATTAATATATTCCTTTTTATAGGATTTTCTAAAGCATTAAAGTATTCACAAGGAAGTCAGCAAATGTAGTGCAACACAAGGCTCTTACTGTGCAGTTTCAAAATCTGTAATGAACAAACTAATGGTATGACATTTCGCATGCCATCTTGTACATTGTCAATACTGTTATTTAAGGTAAATCGAGACTCGTCAGAAAACATGAGCTTCTACAAATCCACATACCATTGTCTGTGTTCTTGTACTAAATGCACTCTAGCGTTGATGATCAAGGCAATTCTCCAAACAGGAACGCTTTATGCAGTGCCTTAGCGCAGCAGATGCAGTCTAGTTGAGGAAATAGAGTATATTGTACTTGTAGCAGTGTTCTGTTGCTGCCTTAAAAGTTGAGAAGAAGATGCAGGTTTAGTTACTGCAGTATAGGTAAGACATCCATTCTCTGCGCATAAATATGTGCTCTGTAACTGTCAAAGTTGAGTTGCTCGAAGCTCGATTGTTTCGAAAACATGAAAATAAATCCTCTTCAGGATTTTTCATTGTGTTCATTAAGGGGACTTATACACCTTAAACCCCTTATGATCTTCGAATATGTGACTGTTGCAAGAATTGGGATATTTTATTTATTTTAAAAGCAATTACTTGCAACTTTTACAGCTGACTACATAATATAGCTGGTTTGGAAAATAGTAACCAGAAAGTTTGTGGAGCCACAAATAGTTTTGTAATTTAATCCTCTTTGTGACAAAATATTTCGCCATGTTTCCACCTTGCGCGCAGGATATTTTAAAAATGGCTAATGGTACATACTTGAAATTGGGTGGAATTCTTTTATATGGGCACTACTTCTAACTGAACCAACAATCTGATGAATATTTTAATATTGAAAAATTTTATGGACGAAAACATTAAAAATTTTGTTAATAAAATACATTTTATAAACTAAACTCTAAATAAAATAAAAATTTAACATGAAATTTTTAGAATTTTAGGTTCACAGTAGTTTCCAAATGTTATAAAAGCTATATATTAATCATGGAATTAAATTATGAAACAGAATATTTTAAACTGTGCGCCCAAGTTGGAAGCATGAAGAAAAATGTTGTCAGAAAGCGGATTAAATTATAAAAATATTTGTGGCAACACAAACTTTCTGATTACTATTTCAGAAAGCAACTATATTATGTAGTCAGCTGTAAAAAGTTGGTAGTAATTGCTTTTAAAATAAATAAGTTATCCCAATTCTTGCAACAGTCACCTATTCGAACATCTTATGGGTTTTAAGGTGTATGAGTCCCCTTAAGATATGTACTCTTGGTGCCTATGCTTTTGGGGAAAGACATATACAAACTAGGTTTTTAAGACTCTACCGGGCGGGAAGAACTAGGATTTAATGATATTCTGTCATCTACATATTCTTAAGGAAATGAGAAAACCTGTTTCATGGGTAGTGAACGAGGCTAGAATTTTAAGCATAAAAATGCAAATCGATATCGTCTTCTCCTGCGACATGGATGCTATGTAATTGCTTATTTAAAATTAAGAGCATCTGTACATTATTATTATTATTATATTATCTTGAAGTGTTATTCTATTTCGTAATCCACTGTCGAATTTTTTAATATCTCCAGTCGATTGCTTTTACAGTTATATTTTGTCATGGCCTTCTGGCTTCTCACTACCTCTTATGTTGTTTATATGCCTCATACGATTTTTTGGAGGATGCTGTTAAGCTCAGACATTCGCGGGATTCGAACCTCGGACCGAACTACCAGTGTTCAGCGACTTTACCGCTCGGCCGCTGGTGGGCCCCACATCTTGCTTTGTATTTTTCACGAGTTTCATTCTATTCTAACAGTTTCTTCTTGGTGTTGCAATTTTCACAAACACAAGCTTATTTAACGTCATTCCTGCTATCTTATTGCACATTTTATGAGCAAATATTTATTATAAACTCATTTACGTTTCTAAAATTTTATTGAAATTACGTCTATGTATCACTGAAAAATATAATTTTATTACTGTTGCTATTTAGACAAATGACACTAAAATAAAGGCAAAATCAGGAAAACCAAGAGTGAGAATTTTCTTCAATACGAAATACAACTTTTCCAACCACCCGAATTCTTCTTTTATGGTCAAAAAGGAAGGTAAAAGGTACTTGATTGAAATAGAAAACTCTGAGTTTCCAACATTGGGGTTAACTTCGTATTCCGAATTTGCGCCTGGAAAGTAAGGATTTAATTTTTTTTATTGATATTATATTTTCATGTACATGTTTCTAATCTGTAGATTTTATTTGTTTTTAAATGATGTTGAATTAAAATATAGTTTAGCTCCGTATTTTAAAACTGCACTGGTAAAAGAGGATGATTAAGTAGCTGTTTGTAGCAAACATTATGTCCTCTCTACCTATGACTGGCCTCGCATGTTTAAAATATTGCCGTCCAGACAATTTTAATTATACCTCCGTGGCTTATATAAGTACTTCCAAGTATAAATACTTGGAAGAACTGATTAAAGAAAGCTTTTTCTCTGTAACAATATGTATGTCTCTGTTTCTCTGTAACAATGTAACAAGTCAAATTTATGGAAATTTTAAAATGATAGAAAATGGTGTCACTATCTTGCAGTACATATTTTTTATTTGGTGTTCTGTCGTGTCTAACAAATCTCACGCCTTGACTCCATATGATTTGCTAAACTGATCAGGTCTAAGGTATTGCACTACTCTTCCGAGTGCACACTTTCAAATCGTGTAAGGTACAGGGAGGCATTTAGCACAGTCTAGATTTCCGGCATAAGGTATCCCATTCATGCTTAATGATGGATCAAGTCTAGTGGGTAAATTGACCAATCCATTCAGATGATATTCTCTATTGTGACATCACAGCTGCTAGATACGGACAAGCATTATTTATTCATTTGCAAAATATATATGAGCCAACAGCATCCCTAAACGGCCTTACATGAAGTTCGAAGACCTCGTCCACATATCTGTGACATATCTTATTTGTAAGGCGTGACCGATTCCAGAGCCTCTATCAAATATTCATCTCATTGCAGGCAGTTTTGATAATTTTACTCCAAAACTTGGAATAGTATGTATGTAATAATTTAGATGTTGAAGTATCGCCGACTACCATAGTTGCTCAAAATTGCTACAAGGTGATTTTTTTCAAACGCAGATTGGTTTGTGAAAGAATGCTTGAAGCTATAGCTTATGATGATGATGTGTTGATAATAAGGACTAAAACATATTTCTGTTTAGGTGATTATCTTGCTAAGTAAAAGCATAGATTTTAAGAAGTAGGTAGAACTCAAGGTAATACACTAGAAACTTCTTCATATTGCTTAAGTTAGAACTTCATAAGATGTCAGACAGACAAAGTAGTCAGATGACTTGTTTTGCACCCGCTAAGTCTTCCTACCCGCAGGGCGAAAAATCAAGCTTAGATAAGGAGGAAAGGCAAATAGAAAGAGTCACGTTGAAAGAGTTTACGTTTGAGAGAAAAATAATGTCGTAACATTTTGAGACGCAATAGTTAAAGCCAGATAAAAAAAAAGTGGGTTATAAAAAAAATATGGTCCAGACTAAATAAAAATAATAATAATTACGGGCTAAGTAAGATAGAGATGAAAGAGAAGCGTGAAGAAACCTAACCATGAATGTATGCTAACATGCAATGAACGATGCATCAAATATTGGAGAAGTCCATGTGACCTACCACCTAATCATGAACGCTAAGTATATAGTATCTTTAGTGAGGTGTTGAAAATACTAGCTTATAAAAAAGGGTTTAAAGAAAGAGCGGGATGCTTCGTTCCAATAATTAAGCACTCCTGAACATTTGTTTCTCATCAGAGGGAAATGCGAGTTCTGATCAGGCGTTTGAAAACCGATTTGAAACCTCTTTAAGTATGCTTGAACTGGTTAAAAGCAATGGGAAAAAAGGGGGAAGCCTAAGGAAAAAAAGGGGTGTCCAGTTTGATAACAATTTTAAGTCTAGTTAAGAAGTTAACTTTAAGCTAAGACAGGAAGGTATAATAATAAGTAAAAAAAATAAATAAATAAAAAGAGGAAGTACAAACATGGAATACAAGACAAAGTGCTTTCTTCTACCATCAGACACAACAGCAACAAAGAAACACAACATCAGAGAAAAATGGATTTTCATACATTTTTAAGAACACAGCAGCAAACAAAAATATTTATGCACATACAGTTTCAGACCACATCATAAAAAAATGGGGTGGAGATATGCGTTCAAAGGAAATAGCAAAACGTTGCAGTAAAACTTCAAAAAAAAGTTTAAATATTTGGAGTAAATAAAGAAATGTTACGAAACAATAACATAGTCTTAAAGAGCGGAATCTTTAAAGCAACAACGATTCCTAGGAGTTACAGTAAATAAATAAAATTTACATGATATGATCAATATGATCAAGAAAAATTATCCGAAACACTTCCACGTAAGACTTATATCATCACTAACAATCATACAAAAAAAAAAAAAAAAACCCTCTTGGCAATAAATTACGAATGCACAAATAATCTATAGAAACGGTGCTAATTTTTAGGGAGCAAACAATCATGCCTGCGAAGGGAATAATATATTTAAATCTAAGTACTGAAATTTTTATACAAAAAGTACATGAATAAAAAAAAATCGCTTCACATTCGCACGCATCCCTAATTTCAAAGAGCAAAATTCTCTCTTTTCCCTCTATTGCAGCAAATCTTTGTAAGGCGTTTCGAGGGTAGTTTTACATCAACTTTTTGGATCGACCTGAAAGAAACACGGCTCCAAGATGAAGCTGCAACTCATACGGCGACAGCTACAATGCAAATTCTGAGGAAAATGTTTCCCAAACATATAATATCATATTTATCGGGTCTGGAGCGGGAGAGGTGCGGGAACTCTTTAGGCGAATTAGATTTAAAAAGACTGGATCAGATTTGCCTCTGAGGAGAAACTGGATTGATAAATAAAAGTGGCTTTAATTTTAAATGTTATGATCCAATAATGCAAAAGATAACTTCTCTTAAAGAGATTAAAGTTTAACATTAGAAAGTGCATGCGAACCCTTTTAACAGAGAACAAAGAAGTGTTTAAGTTAAATTGCAACCGCTTACCGCTTTACGGGTGAAAGAGACAATAAAGCCCATTTACGGGACAAAGAGAGTAACCATGAACGAAGCTGAAAGAACAGCAAATTCGCTCAGGCGGGGGAAGGGGGGGATTGCATCTTAGAAAATGGTAACGCACTATATGCGTTTTTTCAGAGTAGCGCTGGGTGTTTTCTTTGAAGAAGCAATTCCAGGATGATAAGCAGGCAATGCATGGAGAGCGAGGTTTCCGATCGAAGGAATCTTTTTGAAAACGTTTACCGAAAATCGCTGAATAAAACGATTCAAGGGAAAATTTTGGCAGCATTATAAATATCCTCATTCGTAACAAACCAAGGAGCATTGTAAATTTGCCGTTAGCATTTGGAATGCTCCTTGGTTTCCTCTTTGCCGTAGCATTTGGAATGCTCCTCCTCCATTTGGGAAATTTGGATATGTTTCCTGTTAGTAATTTCTGCTGCACCCCATTCGGAACTTGTGTATGTCAAAATAGGCCTTATCACTGATTTATAGAGCAAGATCTTGTTTTGCGTAGACAGGTCGCTTTTTCTAGCGGAAAATGGTAATAATTGGGATTTGACAACCTTCTCATTGGAAATTGTTTTTTTGAATGCGAGGTTGCCAAGTTAATTTAGAATCAAGTATCACTCCTAGATACTTGTAAGTAGGGTTCAATCGAGAGAAGGATAACATGATTTTCCATGTGGTACGTAATACCAGTGTGTCCGGGGACTTTCTCCAAGTAGGAACACAGGGTAGTGGTTCTCCGAAGAATTGCAAGTTACGTAAACTGGGGACAGTTCTTCGGATGAATAAAGTGGCAGCACGTTTTGCGACATTAATTTTGATTTTTTAATTAAATTAATTTTGATTTGCGACATTTTCACAGTCCGAGCCAAAGTTCCAGGCTTGAAAGATAATTCTGCAGTGAAGAATCACCAAATCTCTTCTGCAGAATCACCAGAATTCTGCAGTGCAGAATGATGGCCGCGTCGTCCGCATATAAAGCTAGATCGACATTATGTGATTTAGGAATATCGTTAACAAATATGTGTTGAACAGTTGAGGTGAAAGTAAACTTTCCTGAGGGATGCCGGCATAGATTGCTTGGGGAGTAGACTATTCGTGGCTAACTCGCACTCGAAACGTTCTACCTGTCAAATACGAATCGAGAATTTTAATGAGTTGCGACGAAAAACCAAGCTGCATGAACTTGTACATAAGCCTCTCATCCCAAGTCCTGTCAAAGGCTGTGGCAATGTCAAGATAGACAGTTCCAGTTTTCTCTCGTTTACGAAAGCCCTCGTGAATGAATTCTACTACACGGAGTAACAGGTGTACCGTGTAGTGTTGAGGACGGAAGCCAAATTGTTGCGGGATTATTAAATTTCGATCATGGCAGAATTCATTCAAGCGTTTAAGTAAAACAAACTCATAAATTTTTGAGAGAGTTGATAGTAGGCTAAGTGACCTAGAATTGACGGGAAGATTTAATTTTTGTCCCGGTTTTAGAATATGAATGACTGCGATTTTCCTACAGTCAGGAAAGTAACACTTCTTAAGCATTAGATTAATTAGGACCGTAATCCACACTATACATTACGGCGAAGTGTTTGATCATGCGATTCGATATTGAATCTATGCCTGTTGCCCTCTTGTGTTTCATTTTATCAATGAATTTTAGCATCTCAGTTGGGTCAGTAGGCCTAACATCAGGCGTGATAAGTTGTGTTAGAAAATGTTAAACACGTAAGTGCATGCGCTCCTCTGTGACCCGGCGGTTACAGTAGGCGTCGTTATTTGGACTGAATTCTGTAGCAAGGCTGTCAGCTATAGCTTCAGCCTTTTCAGTGTCTGTAAAAGCCAGCTGGTTAGCATTGCCAGTTCGAAGGGGCGGAATGTGTTTAAATTGTTTGCGCAATCGGGGGGGGGGGTGTTGCGCGCCAAACCGATCCGTCGTCAATCGTTAAGGGCTCAATGTAGTGTTTCCACTCCGCTTGTTGACCTAATCTTGTCCTGTTCTCTGCGAAATTGAACACGGATGCTGGGATCGCGTGTTCTTTGCCAAACTTTTCGCAGGTAGTTTCGCTGCTTAATTTTGGATTTAGTCTCAGGCGGGAGCCTAGCGCCCGTATGAGTGAGAAGTTTCGAAAACGCAGCTGCCGCTTCTTTCACTAAAAACTCCAAATTTCTGATACACCTGTGTCAAAGTCCGCATTGCTGGAAGTTTTGATAGTGGGGATAGCTGTACGTTTCAAAATATACCGAAAATCGTCCTAATTTGTAGAGACTTGCTCTTGTGATTTTGAGTATCGATTTTGAATATCTAGGGTAATCAAAACAGGATAGTGATCAGAGTCCAAGTCTTTAATCACTTTACTTTTATGCCGAAAATATACATTATAGAAAGCAGCCAGATCAAGAACTGTGGAGGATCTCTAACTGGGTGATAAGTGGGGACACTAGGAGCTATGATCTGTGCATGGAAGCTCTGAGCCCATGAATTTAGTTTAATGCCGTACCTGTTCCTATTAGGACAAAACCATGCGGTATGGTGCGAATTTAGATCACCAGCAATAATTAGGTGATTTGAAATTGCTAAAAGTTTATCAAAATCACTGACAGGAAGTTTCGATAATAGTCGCTCCCAAATGTTCCAAATGAGGGAGAGGTATCATGTCACCATATGGCACCCTGTCAGTCGGGTAGATGTCGTAATTCCCAAATCTGGGAGTTCGCCCTAGGATAAAGTGAGTTTCTTGGACTAAAAACACCAAGATCGTGCTCTGCAATTAAATCCTGTACTTCATGGATTTTATTATACAGACCATTTGCATTCCATGTACAAATGGACAAGAATCTGCTGGCAGTACAACTTTTTACATGAGAGTTGAACTTTAGGCCGTTATAAGTAGGTTCTGCAAAGATAACAGGAGACATAGGCCGAATATTTAGCCGAATTACTCCGAAAGCTCAATATAGCTTTCATAGAGATAGAGAGCTCTCATTAAGGTATATGCGTGCCTTAGGCAGAACCTTTTTGAAAGCTAATAGCAGAATACGCTTGTCTACTGCAGGGTCGCGAGAGATGTCAATCAAGCATTTTAGAGTGAAGGAGAATATATCTTCCGAGTCTGCTGAAGTAATTGCTGGGGTTACAGTTTTTGATTTAGCCGTAACCGGCAGTGCTGGATCTCTGGAATCACATTCGAGCTCCTTAGTTTTATTCCCTACCGCCGCTGCATGACTCAGCGGGTTAACACCACTGGGACGAGCATGTGTGGGATGTGTTTGAACGGCGTTTATCTAGGGAGTCGTAGAGCTCTGAGTTGGAGTTGCCGGGGCAGCGGCCCTAACCTTAAGCGTAGTATTCGTTCTACGGGACCGTTAATGAGCAATGCCATCGCTGGGACTCGAACCTGGCCCTCTCGAATACGCGCCGAGAGTGCTAACCATTACATCACGAAGAGATGAACTTCGCAACAACAAAGATAATATTATAAGTAGAGAGAGCTGTTACACCACTCTTTCCCCAGTAACAACATAGTTACGGTACACTCTATAGATTTCAATAACAATAAAAAAAAATTTCAGTGTATATGCAATGAATATAAAGGAAATATATGTATATACAAGTGTAGAAAATCGCCTAATCAATGCTTTTAGCCAATCTTTGTTTTAAAAGTGGGCAAAACGTTTTAGGAAATTCATCTCTCTCTCGAGTTATTTTCCACCCAAGCATCATTTTATACATTCTGAATATTAAATGTTAAGGTATCTAATCTATTTTTATATTATAGGTATGATATACACACTCCATTGAATGCTACATCCCACAACGAAATCCCAGTGGGAAATATACGAGTTAGATCTGGAGGGGCTTATATAATCAGTATTTATCAAAATTCACCTTCAGATGGAAATGTAAGTTTCAATTTTATGATACATTATTATTGAACATTAGATTATTCAGTTTTTCAAACATCTAGGCTATTTTTCTTATTTTGGTTTTAAAACATTATAAATATTTTTTCATTCATTCATGGCATGTCAAAATTCTGTAAAATTGCTTTACTCATGTCTAGTAATTAAAAAAAAGTTTTCCTTATTTTATTTTTATTGTTAAGATATTTTTAATAAATTTATTCATCATATACATAATTTTTTCCCCTTAGTTTATCAACTCTTCATACAGAAATTCTTCAATCTTTATTTCCTTTGGGAATATCATTCAAAGTAATATTGCAACAATTAATCAGCTTTTTCATTTACAACTTAATATAGATATGGCATTTAGTTTTCATGATAATATTATTACTATCGCAATCTAAACATGTGCTTTCACCAAATAAAAAATATTTCATCCACCTTTTCCTAATCATGCCAATAACTCAAAATTTGAATTTTGTTAACATTTCAAAACCAAGCCACAGAGACTGTTTATGCAATTATAGAATGATTTTTAGAGTGAAGGGAAAATAAAAATGTTAAATGTTCCAAAAGTATAATTAAGGCAATTTCTTATTATTTTGAACCTCAGTTATCACATGAGGAAATTAAATATTATTCTGCTAAACTGGTTCCTCTATGCAAATTTTATATTGCATATTACACATTTTCTGTTTACAAAGATAAATGTACTTTGCTTAAAAATTCTGTTGAGACCATAGAATTAACATTTTTACATATAAGAATATGAAATATTATTTATAGTAAGGGAAAAATTTTCAAGCATTGCTCTTACATGGAGAGCAGCAGCAAAATAACATTTGAAAAAGACACTTTCACATCTCTTTCAAATAAAATTTCTAGTCTTAAAAGAACCTACTGACTCCAAGAAAAATCTCAATGATTTCAAAATCTCTTTGTCAATAGAAAACAAAACCATAAATGAAGATTATGATAATGAAGACTTAAAAGAGCTGAAATTATAACCTTCACTTCCTGTTGCCTGAGCAGTTGAGGCAAAATACTAACCATGGTGTAGAATGTTTTACCAATTTCATCTAGGGAGGGAAAAAAAGAGGGGAGTTTTTTGGGGGGGATTTGCCCAATTGACTGTTATAAAAAATATCAATTTATAATTAGAAAAAAAAAAAAAAAAAAAAGGGAGAGACGAAGATTTCCAGACTTTGTGTTGAAAATTTAAAGAAATAAAAATAGTGGATTAACAGTTGTAGTTTTCATTAGAAATTTAAATTTGAAACCATGGAAGATGTTAAAAATGACTCTTTCATGTTATCAAAATAATGTTTAGGAGAAATTCCTTCTCTTTATCCGCAGATGTTTCAATGACAAAAATATGCATCAAAATAAAGTTACTAAGCATACAATAAAACTAACTCCAAATCTTTTAGAAGGGGAAAATGATGAAATCAACAGACATTATATCCAAGTCTTTGCTCATATTCTTTCAAAGACAATGAATGTTTAATGAAGGAATTTTTGTACTTTGATGAAAATAGTGCTTTCTAAATATAGACTAAAGTCACTGGATAAGACAGTAGAAAGTAATGCAGGAAAATACTGCTGCTATCTGTAAGAAACTATCTGGCAGCAGTAATCTTAATTTTGATTTTGAAAATAAAGAGGTTGATTGATAGATAAAAAAAGAAAGAAAGAAAAAAAAAAAAAAAAAAAAAACAGAATATTTTAAAAATAAGTACTTTTTATTCAAAATACTAATTTATCATTCAGAAAACAGACTTAAAGATATGTAAACAACAGTTGTAATCACACTTCATGCAAATTTCAAGCATATTAATAGAAGTGAAATTAAATCTGTATTATGCAATAAAAGTATTCAAAATTTTAGTTAAGCTCCATATTTCCTGTTATTAGAATTACAAATTTTAATGGTGTGCATTTACACTTGTTTCTTGTTTCATTAAAAGAAAATTCTTAATTTTAGCAAAATATTCACACATAAGATTTCTTGTCTTTTTATATTTGAAAAATGCTTTATAGATAAAAATAATAATAATGTAATTCTATAAAATTAAACAAAGTTATTCTGTAAACTCCAAATATAAAATAATCATTTCAATTTATATGCATGTTGCAGTTTAAATTTTTTTTTTTTTTTTTTTTCTGTTTTGCAGTTTTCTGTTGGAACTATAACTATGATAGAAGAAAACTCTATGCATATATTCTTACAAATACCTCAGTATGTGATTATGACCGCTGGTGAAATAATGTTTTCTGTGACTGGACTAGAATTTTCATACTCACAAGTAAGTGTCTAGTTTAATATTTGATACATCTTGCAAATGTGAAGTATGAAATTTATGTCTGATTTAATAGCAATTTTAGAGGCTAAATAAACTCTTTATCTTTAGGCTCCTAGCAGTATGAAATCTGTGTTACAAGCAGCATGGCAGCTTACTGTAGCATTTGGAAATTTAATTGTGCTTGTGATAGCTGAACTCAGCTTATTTGACAAAATGGTAAATATATAAAATGAGAATAATTTCATTGTGAGCTAATAATTTCTTGCAGCATTTTCTCCTTATTTCAAATTAATTAAAATAGATACTGAAGTAAATTTCATCAAAAGTGAAACACGGGATTTTAAAGAGAAATAAATTATTTTTTAAATACAATCTTAATCATTCGGCTAATACTTTTAAGGGAATTTTTGGACATTTCCTGATCTATTTAAGAAGGCGGGAGGGAAATTCTGTGCCAAGTACATGTATAATATAAGATGCATCTTTTATTAATTAAAGTAATGCTTAAATTATGCTGATTTATGTTGCCTTAGGATTTCCAATGCTGCAAATGTTAAAAAAAAATATCAGATGGACATATTAAAAATTAAATGTACTTAAAATTACATAACTTAAACATATTATTAAAATAAAATTTAAGCTGAAGATGTTTATCAGTCTGTTAATCACTGATTACATGTGAGTTAACAGTAAATGTGTAGGATTATATAGTAAATTTGGATAGACTATTAAAATTAATCTGAAAGCCAGGTGACTGTTAGGATAGTTGTTAACTGGTGTAATATGATACTACAGTTAACAACAGAAAATTATCAAGAAATATGTTTTACTACTTTTAAATTGCTCATCTTCAGTTTTGTACAGTCATGTTTTGGACTTAGTATGTCATATGGGTGATAAATGCATAATGTAACCAAACAAAGCATAAAAGAATGAAACAGTTTAAAAATATAAGAGATGATTCTGCTAAAGATGCTTCTGCATCAAATTGATCTTCAAAGCCACTAGTCACCAATGACTTACTGGCTGACAATGTAGAGCAATGCAGTAAATTTAGACACATTGTTAAAATAAAATTAAACTAAAAGACAATGACATCTATCAGAGCAGTTGGCCATTGATGACCCATGAATTGTTAATAGTTACTGGGGTAAAACTAGAGTTGGATTAAGACCTCTAGAGGTCTTAAGCATTTAACCCTTTCCAGCGCAGTGTGTTCAGTGTGAACACACTAAAAATATTCCCTCTAAAAATAATCGATAAATATCACAAAAACTACACTAATGGTTACTTCTAATCTCTTTTATGAATAATAGATGGCAGCACCACACAAGCAAATCATTAATATTGAGATATATTCTGTTTTTAAAGACACTAATTTTTCAAAGAAATGTTTCAGATTTTTTTTTTTTTTTTTTTTTTTTTTTTTTTTTTTTTTTTTAATATAAAGAATACCAATGAAAAAAAATCTTTATATAATTTTGTCGTTCATATGCCTATTCTGTATTACTTTTAATTTTTATCTTTGAAATATCATGTATAGTGAAGCCTTCAGTGTATGGTGTGTTCGGACAGAATACACTGTACTGGTAGGCCCGTCACGTGGGAGTGAGTCACAGAAACTAGTCTTGTTCTTCAAACTCGGGGAAGGCTGAGAATGCAGATTTATTTATATTTGTTTTTATTCTTTTCTGTTTTTGGTTTTGAAGACCCCGCTGCTTTGTTTTCACTTAGCTGTTTGATTTTTAGCGAGAGCAAACCCTTTTTTCTCTTGCTTTCATTGTGCGTAGTTTGCTTAGTTTTGATTTCTGTAGATTTTTATTTGTACATATATTTAATAATTACTCTTTTCTAGTCAATAATTAATTGTAAATATTAATAGTATTTTAATTATTTTTCTTATAATTTTTAAATTGGTGTAAATGGCTTGAGAGGCCTCAGCATTTCCGAAGCAATGAGAGTTTTCTTTTTTTCCCCTGGTTTTTTTGAGGGGGTGTAGAGTAGCAGGCCTCCCCGTGGTGCATCTTGAGTTATGCTAAATCTGCTACAGAGATCAAATTCTACTGTTTTTAAATCATAGACAAAGTATTTTACTGTAATACGTGCTTCACAGCAATGCTCACCTATCGCAGCTCATGTGGCTCAGTGTGTTCACTTCGGACACATCCACAAAATGGAAACGGTTTGTGCAATCTTCGTAAAATTATACCTGCATACTCTTCTAGGCCTAAATAGACTGCCTACAAATTGTTTTGATAAAATTTTAACTTTAAAGAGTATCATGCCGGAAAGGGTTAAAAGATTTTAGTGCCCCCACATATGCTTATGCTAGTTTTACCCATTGCAATGGCAATGGGTTAACTGCATCTCTGGTAATACTGGTAGTGCAAGTTTTTTTGGTTCCACCTTTTTTGAATATCTAAAGACCTTTCCTTGATGGCATTTTAATAAAATTAAACTGAAGGATACCAGCTCCCATCAAGGCAGTTGATCACTTGTGATTTTTAGGTTGACAGTCACTGGTGTGGATAAATTGATTATTCAAATAAAATTTAACCAAAGGACATTGGTGTCCATTCAAAGCAATTAGTAACTGTAACCTATGAGCCTATTGATCGTTGTCAAGCAACCTATGAAAGATAGTACATTAAATAATTATTTAAATGAAATTAAACTGGAAGACATCAATGATTATTGAGGTCATTGGCCACCAGCAACCTATGACCCTATTTGTGTAAGAAAGTGCAGCATTTTGTGCAGTGATGACACATACCAAATTTATGGATGATAAAGGCATGACAGTATAACATAATGGCCCCCAAAATGTTTTGTCTGTTCCTTTTAAAAATCCTTCAAACATTCCTAATTGTTTATGTTTATATCCTTTAGTATTAACATGGTTTGGCAGTATTTTTTTAAATTTAGAAGTATTTAAATGCATTGTTTTTAAATAAGTATAAAATATTTCTGATTACTTTTTATGAAACATGGTATGATGAGAAACTGATTAAAATTATGTATTTTTGGATAGAAACTATTTTCAAGTATTTGACTGAATTTAGTAAAAGAGAGTTCACTGAAATTTTTTAAGCTCTATTTACCAGTTTCTAATGCACTGAATTTATGCTATGTGAAATGAATGAATGAAGTTAACATTTAAAATATATGTCTTTTTTTCTTTTCAGTCACATGAACTATTTATGTTTGCCATAATGATGTTTATCGACATGATTATTTTTGCTATCATGGCATACTTTTATAAATATGTGAAACGCAACAATACAGAAGAATCAGAAACTAGACCTGAGAATGGAAAATCCAATAAAGCATATGAAGAAGAAACAGACTTCAATAAGTGAAAAAAAAAAAAATCTGTTGCTGTAAAATGTACATAATATATTACAAAATACAGGAATGAGAAAGGATATATTTCTCTATACATCCTGTTCAGCAAATTTTGGTACAGCATTCATATGCAGCACAAACTGAAACCATAGCGACTTTGTGCAACTGAGTTATTGACTTTGTGTGTAATATTTTTATAAAAAGTTCTTGTTGCCGCAGAAGTAGGGTAATGAATGAGTACTTACAAAATGCAAAGACTGAGGGAATTCATTCTCATACTCATAAACAAATGCAAATTTTATTTGCATAACTTGTGACTTATTAAATTTTTACCTGCAGTTTTATTACTAAAACTGCAATGAATAAGAATCCATTATAACAAAAAATTAATTTATTACAAGCAACCTTTAATAACCTATAAAACTTTTGATTTTCTTTGATATAAAATATCAATGATTTTATGATTTAAATTCTTTAGGTATTAAGTTCTAAATAGTTGTGAAAAATTATCCAAAAACAGTAGAAAAAGTAACCAAAATGGTATTAAAATGCAAAATAATTTTAAATATTTATGCATTTGAATGCTTTGTATATTCTCTTGATGGATAATATATATATATTTGTAAAAAAAAATAGCAGCTATTTATTATATTTTTTAAGAATGATAAATTTTATGTCATTCAGAATTACTGTAAATTAATAAAAAAATAATTTTTGAACATTTAGTATAATCCTGGTTTTATGCAATTAGTTTAAAGGTATTTTTCAGGTTCTTATGCAGGATATCTGTATGCACACAGTTTTAAATTTATATACAATACCTGTTGCTTATTAAAATCATTTCCATTTGAAGCATATTTATGTTTATTAAGTGGATGAGTTTAATAAACAGCGATTATAATGTTGCAAATTACATTATCAACTTTGAATTTATTTTGTAAGATAGTCATTAACATTTAATCTAATAATCAATACCTATATTATTAAAGTTTATTTTTACATATTCACAAAACTTAGAAATTTATTTTGTATTTATTTTTCATAAAAAAATTTTATGATTACATACCTGAAGAAATTTTAAACTTTTACAAAGAACTTCTCTATCCATATTTGTTTCACATTGTTCGTCAACAGTCTTTTACTTGTATTTTCAAGTTCATTAACTGTTGGTAGCTTTTCTGATGTTTCCTTTTGAATTCAAGAGTTCACAGTGCTTTTCTCGATTCAGCAGAGCCTGGCATTTCTGCAGCTCTTTTAACACTTTCTATACTATCATAGTAAATGTTTCCAAAAGGTGTCTCAATATTATTGTCAACTGCAATGTATTCTAAAAAAGAATCTTTGTTCCTTTCTCTAACTGATGTTCAAAATATTAAAAATAGCTTACAATTCCTCTGTGGCTTCTTCTAAATAAAAAGCATATTTTCCAAAGCAATTCATAACTGTGTTTTGGGAGACTGCTTCCCATGCACTATGGGGACTATTATATGCATAGCCTTTAACAAACATATCAATATAGTTATCTCCTTCAAAGTGTTTACACTTTCAAAAGTTTAATTTCGTTTATCTTTTTCTGAACGAGACCTTTTCTGTAATTATATTTAAAAGCTTTTATAACACCTTGGTCTAAGGGCTGAATGACATAAGTCATAGTTGCAGGATTCAATACTAATTTAATGTTTTCAGAAAATGATATCAGAGGGATATGCAGCAGTTATCTAATAGTAAAGCTATTTTTTTCATTTTTCAGTTCTCTGCCCCATTTCGAAAGGAATTTAGTAAAAATACTCTTTGTCATCCATGAATTCTTATTATTATGGTAAGTTAAAGGTAAATTCTTGACTCCTTTTAAATACAGGAGGTTTTCTACTCGTTCCAATAACCACTGACATCTTTTTAATCGTTTATATTGCACACACCAACTCATTCTTTAAAGTTTCTTAAAACCAGCTGCTGTTTTAAATTAAAACATTAATGTGTGCTCCGGTAATGGTCTTCAAAACAAATTGGTTTCATCTGTGTTATAAATTTCATGTGCCTTGCATTTTTTAGAAGCTTGGGTGAAACATCTTTTTATCCATTTCTCAGCCAACTGATAATCTGTCCTATCTTCTCACCATGTAGTTTCCAAAAAACAATATTTCTCTCTTTTCATCTTTACGCCATCCAATAGCACAAAATTTTCTCCTAGCGTTTTAGAAAATTCTACAGCCTATGTAGTCAAAAAAGCTTCAGAAATTGGAACATTTTTTAATCTCATAGCTTGAAACTATTCTAGAAGAGCAGTTTCAACATCTCTCAATTTCCCATTCTTTTATCCTTCCTGAAACTTTTTTTCTGCTTTTTTATAAATTTTATTTCTTTGTTTAAGTAAAGTGCACAATGCTACTTGGGAAATCCCCATTTTTATTACTGCTTCTCTCTGGCTGCATTTATAAAATGTAGCCTAATCTTTCAGCAATTTATCCTTTTCTTTCAGGCTTAAATCATTTTAAGCATTTTTGACATATTACAAGTCTCGCACACACTCCAAATAAAAAACATTTCTTCCAGTGACTTTTCAAAATCTAAAATTCTCATTTCTTGCCAGCAGGCTGCACTTTCGTCGACTATTTATAGGCATAATCAATGATTTCTTTTCTTTTTTCTTCAGCCTAATCAAAGCCTGATAATGCAAGGAAGCATTTCATAATGTTTTCTAAGAACACCTCCAAACTTAATGTGTGTATGCACGTTCCCTGTCAGCTGGTATTCAAGGAAGGAGACCAGTGTTCACTTAAGCACCACCTATTCTTTAATCCTAAGAAACAGTCATTCATTTATAATCAAAGAACTTGTTTCTAATGCCTCTTCTAGAGGGTTGCTTTTGTTAATTATTGGTGTTGGACGGTTTTGTTTGGTTTATTGTGATTAACACTAGAACGGCGGTAGGGATCATTTTGACCCCTGAACACTTTTGACAATTGATTACTTTTGTTTTATTAGAAGAAATCGTTTGGAATCTTTTGACTTTTCCTAACTAGATAACAAAAATTTGTAAAAAAATGTTCAGCATTCTAGGTTTGTTAGTTTTTGAAATATTGGCATGTATTCCTAGAAGGGCAAATGAGGGTGATTTTGACCTCTTTACTTTTATCCCTCTTTAAGCTCGAGGTATTGTCAAATAACTCATGAAAAGCATACATATTGTTTTTAATATTTTGGATCACGCAGCTTTGAACGTCTGGATAATTTATAAAAGTGTAACAGGAAATACCATTAACAGGAGAGATTTTCTACTGAAATTAGGAAAAGAGTTGAGTGGTACATATGGCTTCAAAACTCCCAAAAATCCTTCCTGAGTCTTCAGAAAAAGCGCTTGAAAAGAAAATGGATAGAAAGAGAAAAAAGTGTCAAGTACAGAGATGCAATGGAAACAAATATCAAGAATACTGATCATCTTGTTCCAAAGTTGTGTGCGGAAAATGCACTGAAAAAATTGTTAAAAATTATTTTTGTATCAGCTGTATTATTTCTTAATACGTATGTGTAATCTCTAATATTTTAAACATTAAGTAGAATTGAAACGAAATGCTTTACATATTCCCATTCAGCTACACATGTAATGATATAACTGAAACATCAGACAACATTTCTCATTTCTGGATTTAGAGAGTGAATCATCCATCCTCCGAGTGAATACATAAAAAATATTATTATAGATATTGTGTTTTATTTTAGTTAACATTAGCTTTAATTTATGAAACTATTTATTTGAAATCAATTCTTATATCAAATTAATGAGTTATTTGAGTAAATGTAGTATGATCCAATTGATCGCCATGTACTCAATACATTTACAGTATTTTAAAAAGGTTGATGAGTTATCATGTGATATTAAATATAAATTATGAAATACATATAAAGTACATTTTTGTGTTACAGTATTGTTTTACAGTTGTTATTTCAGTACTTTCATCAAAGGATCAAAATAACCCCTTACAGCCGTTCCACATATAAAGAAGAATGTCTGTTTGTGTGTTTGTTCACATTATTGATTTCTGATCAATTATGATAAAATTTTTTGCCACATTTAATTCACTAGAATTTAATATAGGTGAAATATTGGATGAAACTTGAGCCTTTATGACCATTTGATTAGAAAGACTAAAATCATTAAAGCTACGTGCCATTGTTGCTGATGTAATGAGGGAGAATTAGTTTATTTTTCTATCGAAATTTTTTATGTGGGTTCCATATCATATCAAACTGAAAAATGTATGGTAAAAGTTTACAACTGGGTGCTCCTTGTTTTTTGGTGATTCTTTTTTGACGCCAAGATCAGCACCAGGAAAGCACAATTTCAAGATGGCCGGTACACAAAAGCAAAATAAGAAGTCAAAGATTCGCACAAAGTGTCCATGTGCATATTGATCTATTTTCACTCAAAAAAACATCAGAGAATTGCACAAACTAGGCATTGTATACTACCTAGTTTGTTGCTATTAGAGGGGCACTCAATTCTACACTAGAGCGAAATGTACGACTGTCAATTGTACTTTTTTGCATTGTTATTAGAGAAGGAGGTACTATTCGGTTTCGAGGGCCGTAAAAGATCGCCAAACTTTTGTTGATGCCAATGCTGCCAAAAGTAATTGCGGCAACCCTAACGCAAGAAAGGAAGTATAATAGTAAATAACTATCTAATATTAATGTTTTAATTTAGATGAAAGTTTAAGTTGATATAATATTTCGCTACCGAGTTATCGCTAAAGCATAATGTCATCTCGTTGGTTGTTCAAACATAATTTTCTATAATGAATGATGCCTTTTCTTTGAAAACATTCTCAGTAAGTGCAGAATCGCCCACTTATTGTTTGCCGCTTTTTACAAGGAAAAAACAATTGGATTTTTGTCAATTTTCTTTTACTTTTTAAGTGACAATAGGTTGATGTGTACATAGATAAAGTCAGGGGTGTGCGCAGTGCATTTTTGTGCAATTCTGGGATTTTTTTTTAAGTGAAATAAGTCGATGTGCACATGGATACCGAGTATGTTGCAATTCTTAAAAACGCGTCAAGCAGTGGGTGATTCTGCACTTTACCCATAATTCTATTGCAGACTTTTCATCATAGGCAATTCCCAAATTATTAAATCCATAGGTTATCAAAAAAGGAATTAAAAATTAAACTAGTATTTCAATGGCGTGTTAAGAAATATAGAACTATATAAACTTATGCAATCTGAAATCAGCGCGTACGCTAGATTTGGCACGCTGTTAAATGGGCGTGTTTGCTAGATTTGGCGCTTTCGCACATACATTTTCGCTGGAATTTTTTTACGGCCCTCAAAACCGAATAGTACCGTGAAGGATTACAGCAGTATCATTTTCTATGTTGTTAAATGCATTACTCTCAATCTAACTTAACTGGCATCGGGTACTTCTGCTAATTAAAGATTAAGCAAAAAATTTTGTAGAAATACAACAATATAAACAAAAAAGACTGTATATATTCACATTTTTCCATTATTCAAATTATATGCAGACATAAGCAATAATTATTTTTTTGTTAACATATACTATTAAGACATAAACTACATATTAAAATTAATTTAATTAAATATTAAAAATATTTTAAATATGTTTTGATTTTTGGCAACTGTTAACACTTTTTGCAGGTCAACCACTAGTTATGAACAATCTCTGCCATTAGCAGGGAAGAAACAAATTTTCTGCCTACAGAAAGCCATCAGCCCTAGTACATATATATTGATTAACATAACATTTGTAATGAATATTTATGTAATCAAATTTAATAACATATTGAAACACTTTTTATTGATTTTTTCATTGTAAGTTACATACTATCTCAAACTGAATACAATCTAAAAACAAGAAATGCTTTCCTAATTTTTACAATAGCTTAGAAAGCAGCATTTTAGCACATAAAATAATGAAATTCAGAAATAACATTTTTCAATTAACGATTTTTCTTTTTTTCAAAGACAAATACAAATTGCTATGACATATTGCACAATAACAAAAAAGCTAAGATTATTGTTATCACATAATTTTAACACCGTGTTTTTCTTCTTTCACATTTTTTATAAATAATAATTAAGCAATATTACTGCAACCACATATTAATTAATCTCAGAAAATATTTTTTCACTTAATTCCGCTTAAAAGATTTTGTTCCAACTGTGAAGTCAAACAGAGATGGTTGGCAAAAGTGTCCTTTACAATCTACTAAATAATAAAACCATGTATTTTTTATTTTTAGTGGTATATAAGATGTGGCTTCCTTTCGTGACACTAAGCAGCTAAGTTGATGCAATGGAACTTTAAATTCTCTAGTAGTTCTACCAAATGGGGCATAAGTAACTATAGAAGCCATATTACCTCCTTTACATAAAGTTAATGCCTTTATAACCCTCAAAGGTAGAGTATAAGTGATAAATGCAGTTCCAATACCTGAAATAAAAATTCAACAACATTTAATTTAATGAATTTAAATATACTCTGTTGTAATCAAAATAAATAATTGCATATGAAAAGCACATAATGTACACAGTCAACAACAAGCAACATCAAATGAACACAATTTACTCATAATTTATGTATGAGAATATGTATAAATTAACATATTAAGTATGGCTAGCTATTTCTATATATTAACATTGATCATGTTATAGCTATAACAGAATTTAATCATGCACATCTATGGATACTGCCATTAAACTATAATACTGCACTAGTTCTTGCCTTTATTGAGGTATTTCTAAGGAAATCTGGCTTGTATCCATGCTATATATGGGAAAAACAATGGAAACACCCACACAGCCAACTTGTTTGCCAAGAATCAAACCTAGATCAAACTACCAGCATTCAGTGAATTTACCACTCAGTTGTTGGTAGCCTTAGTTATAAGAAGAAACAAGTAGTTTACAAAGAAAAGAATAAATTATCAGGGGTGACTGGGATCCTGTTTCAAAATTTCATACGGTAAAAACCTGTTGTAATTTCAAATAATTCAAGATATTAATATGAAGCACATTCGTACATTTTCAAATAATTTTAGAAGCAAAAATATGTAATTTTTTGAAATTTATTAAAAAATCAATTTATGTGTCATAATACATTGTTATTTACTTTTTAGTAACTGCTGCATTGAATTTTCTTTGCTAACAAGAATTCAGTGTAATCAGAATACACTTTGGCTTTTTGCTTAAGTATATTGGATTAGAACTTGAAATACACACATTAATTTCAGTTATCTCCATACTACAGTCAACCGTGTATGATGCATAATAATAATCTTTACATTGATACTCATAAATATGAAATGTTCTGCATAAATTAAATATGTTACACTTTGCCTAATGGCCACACTGACAAGTAGAGGATAAAATAGGTATTTTATTTCAGACAATGGCAACATAATTTTTTTAAACTGCAAAGTTTGATTTAATTTGAAAGGGAAATATTTTCTGCTTTGCCCAGTAGCAACAAATTTCTTTTAAATCATTAAAGTTTCTGCATAAATTTATAAAATATAGCAAATACAGCATATATATAAATATGGCAACACATTGCTTTTAAATCTCCAAGTTTGGTAATCAAAATTTATTTAAATTCACATAAAATAAATTTTAAAAATATTGAAAATTTGAGATCATAGATGTACATATTTGGGTGGAGAACTACATAACTTGAAAAATTTAGTGGCTTTAGGTGCCATCGTTTTTTCACAATGCAATGCACTACAAATAGATGGAGAACAAAATAATATGAACACCTGTGAAATAATGGAATATCTTTATTAATAGGGGGTTGGCCCACCCTTTGACTGAAGTACAGATTGAATGCGACATGGGATAGATGCATAAAGGTCATGGACAATATTTAAAGGAATATTAAGCCATTCTGAAAGTCCGGATGGAGGTGGAAATCGGGAATGAAGTTTGGTCTCCAAATATGCTCATAAATGTTTATTAACATCCAAGTCCAGAGACTGACGGGGGTCAAGCGAGATGTTCAATTGCATTGTCATGCTCTTCGAACCATTCTTGAATACACCTAGCAGTGTGGATAGGGGCATTGTCGTCTTGAAAAAGCAGTCATTCCCCAGGGAATACAGTCTGGACATGATCAGATAAAATGCTTAGATAGTAATAATTGGATGTGATCCTTCCATGCAGAATGGCAAGCGGCCCAAGATCGCGCCAAGACAGCGCACCCCATAACACTACATTTGCAAAAAAAGTACTGATACAGCATGATACATGTAATTTAGAAAGAAGCATTTACAGAATGCAAAACCAACACCAAAGTGGCAAGCGGCCCAAGATCGCGCCAAGACAGCGCACCCCATAACACTACATTTGCAAAAAAAAGTACTGATACAGCATGATACATGTAATTTAGAAAGAAGCATTTACAGAATGCAAAACCAACCCCAAAGTGGGAGATTGCACTAAAATGCAGTCTATGTGCACAGTTTGAAATATCTAGTTCAAGGATTACTAACAAGGTACCTTACACCTTACCCAGGGGTTAGTTACCTTACACTAACCCCTGGGGTTGATGAATCTTTTAAAGGGGTCACTGATGATCAAAGGATCAACTAAAGTTTGATAGCCAAGCATGCAATGGCAATTGATCAACATAATCAAGATCCCACTGATTACCAAAATATATATATATATATATATATATATACAGTCAAAAGTCTTTAAACCGGATGTCCATAATCCAGAATGATCTATAATCCAGACCTCAAAGCTACAAACTTTTTGCGGATGGGTAAACGAATAATGCGTTTACGCATATGAACACATAATGCATGCGATGAACTGGAAGTCACGGCGCGCAATGAACTGGAAGTTGATCTGTCAGCACTATCCTTATTTTCAGCGCAGATGTTTTTATTTTATTCGGCTTATAATTCCTTACTAAATGTAGTATTTTATCTCGATGTACTACATCTTTGATATGATTTAAATCAAATTCTTCGTCTTTATAAATATCACGAATACACATCAAATAGTTTTCTGGTTGCAATTTTCTAATTTCGACTATGCTTAATGTATGCTTTACGCATGCATGCATTGAAAGAAATGTTTAATAAAGTAAACAAATAAATATTAAGCTTTTTTTTTTTTTTTTTTTTTTTTTTTTTTTTTGTAAATTTTGATACCTGGAACAGCTTTAGTATTGGTCCTTTTGGCAATTTTTTGATTTGGCGACAAACTTCGGTCGCCAATGTACACCCGGCTTTGAAGATGGGAAAAAAAATGGCAGATTGTCAACAAAACCCGATCTAGACTAAATAACAATCCTAAAAAATAAGCTCTTGATCAGAATAAACAGTCTTTCTCTAATTTTCAACATTTCTAGTACTGCTATGATAAATTCTTGAAAAACTACTGTACATGAATTTATGGCAATGATTATGTTATGAGTAATGAAATTTACAAAAGGTTAATATTTTAAATTACAAAATAGTATAATATTAATGTATTAAACATTAATATTTTAAGTAGTTAGTTAATATTTATATTATATTAGTACTTAGCTAATATTTTTAATTTACAAAAGGTTAATTTTTTTATGTTATGAATAATGAAATTTACAAGAGGTTATAAATGCATTTCAAACTAGTAGTATATGTTACTTTAGTTTCTTAGATTCTGTTATTAAAAGAAAATAAAAAAATATTTCAAAGTGAAGGAAATCAAATTAAATTATAATGAGCAAGTTTTGTACCAGTGTTAGAAATACTTTTTATGATTAAATTTTGTAAATGGTAAAAATATTAAGAAGTGTGTATTTTTTAATCCCTCAAATTTATTACAAGTAATTTATGTTTATAATTTAAAAGCTAAAATTAAATTATCATAATGAGTAAATTTTGTACCAATGGTAATAATACAATAATCATCATAAATGATGATTTCTGTGAAAAATTCGAACAGTCATTGGAATCCACTAGTGTTGGAGTGATAAGCCACTGAACAGTGGTAGTTCAGGCTGGCTATATGGGAGTTTTTGTGGTTTTTCCGTACATGTAATGTGAATCTGAGCCAGTTTCTCTTAAAAAGTACTTTATGAAGGCATCCTTCTTCTGCTAGCCAGCATATATATTTATTTTCTATTCATAATTCTCTCTTATTTTCTTATTTCTTAATTCTAAATCTTACTTCTGAAGTGAAGAAGTGTTGCATCTATAGGTCGAAAAATATGGTCAATATGTTTGCAAAATCCTGTTCAGTTTTGGACAGCATTTAAATAAAATAAATAATTTGTATCTGATGCAAACAAAAATGCATTCCACTATTTCATGTAGTGAATAATTAATCAGGGCACAAAAGTATAATGTAACATTCTTTATTTTGTAACCAGAGTTATTTTATGCTTGGGATCTTTACTATCAATTTCCTCCATCCATTTTCCCACCAGAATCTAAATGAAGTTTTTAGTTTGTAAAACAAACCGTGTTTTGCCTTTCGAGGCCACGTTAGATAAGATAAGATTTGTAGTCTTGAGTCTTGCATTGTAATTGCTGATAGTTGAATTCCATGCCAGTTAAGTTTTTAACCAACTTTGCATTAAATTGATTTAGTTGAATTTAAATTTTACATTTGAACCTTATTGTTATCATAAGTTATCTTGCCCAAGTAGTTGACTGAGTTGTGAGCACAAAGTGTGCCTTCTGTTCTGTACATCTAAACTTTAAGAGAATAAAGTATATCTTAATAAGAATATCTAAACTTCATAATAATAACATTTAAACATTTAACATTTAAAGACATTGAAATCAGTATCTAAGTGCTTGCCGTGTCAAATTTTTATATATAAATTGTACTCTTACTTTTATTATAGAGTTTTTTTATTACAAAAAATTCAGATTTCTGTTAGATAAAATGTTTAAGTAATGTAGAAAATTGGCATAAAATTTAAAATAAAAAGTCGACTGTTATGTCAACATACTATTAATAAAAGTAATAATACTCAGTGAAGGTTATTCATATACAGCTATTAGGTTGTCAGATTTACAAAATTTGAGAACTGTAAATTATAAGCAATATATTCCATAATCTAAGCAACATTATATTTTTTATAGTCAGTCAAATTATAAAAATGTTATAAAAGTAATCATTTTGGTCCTGATTTGAACCTATGAATTCATGCAATTACACATCCCTATAGTTCTAATATGAGGCAAAAAAGTATTTTTAGACCATGGGAATTTTGATTTCCTTAGCAAAGGAAACACAAAGAGTTTACCTTATGCTACTGAAAATGTGGGGGGGGGGTGGAGTTCATAATAATATGCAGAGCTGACATATAAAAAAATGTCAAGACTCATGTGATGTAATATTAAAAGCATCAGTTTTAACTATCAAATTTTAGCTTTTTTAAAAATATTTTAAATGTTGTGCTTTCCTAACACAAATGCAACTTTAAGAAAAACATGCAATTTATCCCTCCTGCCATCAAAGCTCTGATACCTACCAAATTCGTTATTAAAGTTACGTGGACAGAAATGGCGGCATGATTTTCAGCTCAGTATTTAGGGTTATCATACTTTTACATTTATCGCTCCAAAATGTCGCCAAACAAATTTCTCGCCAAAAAGGACTAATACTAAAGCTGTGCCCGATACCCTTTAGATCATAATTGCTCTTTATTTCAAAAATTACGGTTTCATATTTTTAATTATAATTTCTGCATGCCATTTTACCAGATTTAAACTGATGATCTATAATCTGGAAAAACCGATAATCCGGAATCGCCATAGTCCCGATGAGTCCGGATTAAAGACATTTGACTGTATATATATTAGTAAAATTGATAATTAACCTTTTAACTGTCATGCCCGAGATACAGCACTGGTGTTCGAAAACGTCACGCCTGAGTATTTCTCGGGGTAATTTTTTTTTTTTTTTGAGTGCTTCGTATTGTCATACCCAAATATATATCGGGAGATGTTTATTTCGGCTACATTTGGTTTTTCCAATAAAAAAATTTGACAATTTGTGTACCCAAATCATGAAAATAACTTGACAGTTAAAGGGTTAATTGTTTATTGATGATGCTGGCTGCATTACATAGTAAGGAAGCAACCATATAAAATTAATATAAGGGAAGAATACTCTAAAATTATTTAACATGTATTTTAAAAATCAATATTTTTTTAATATGTAAATTTTTCAAATAAATATAATATAAAAAAGTAAAACAATAAAAAATTATGAAGAATGCAAAACTAGAATTGAAATGAGGAAACACATTGAAAGAAGCTATTTAAAAATTACATTAAGTAATTTTATATCAAATATTAAAAACAAAATGCATTACTACATTGATGACAGTGATCACATAAATTACAATCAATATTTTGTGCAATTAGAATCTGTGATGTTGTTTCTGAACATATGTATACACTTGTAAAATAGTGCTTATTTTTAAAAAATTATTAAAAAATTAACATAAATCTAATAAACCATTTTTTCGAAATTTCCATCATAAGCTAGCTGTTATCTTTAGCTATATGCAATCATTTAAAAGTACAAGGGAGTTGACGAAGAAAACTATTCCTTGAAAAACAGTCAATGGAAGGAAAAGGTTGAGAACTCTTGGTCTAGTCACCGCATTGTAATTACGATAACAATAAGGCAAAATATGGTTAGAGTATAGACTTTAAGGCACCCTTTGTATTATGGCGAAGTTGTTGTTTCATTTATTGCCAAGTTGTCTCATTTATAGTAGCCTGAGTAGTTGAATGTTATGGAAATCCTATTGTGATGTAATCGGGTGCATGATTCTGGGAAATTTTGAATCATGGAATGTTTTGTAAGCACTTTTGTGGCGTGTGTTGGTTTTATTGTTTAGATGGTAGAATGGCTGAACATAGTAAGATTAATTTGAAGTTTCTGAAAGATTTGGAACAAAAGGGGAAAACGGCATTAATTTAACTGGTGTGTAAATGAAGGTTTTATTTAGTAGCCATTATAAGTGTCCTGTATGAAAGAAGGATATGCATCTAGTCAAACGTAAAAACCATTTAGATGGATTTGAATGGGTTTGTAAGAAGAAAGGTTCACATGTGGTGATGCCGATATATAGATTCGAGTTCAGATAACTTTAGGAAGTTTTTGGATGCTGTTAAGGAATTTTGTGTGCTTTAGACTAAAGAATTTCTAAATAGGGTAAGTGGATATTTGCTTTTTGTAGTACTTAAATGTATAACATGTTTTTCCTTTTTTATGTTATTTTATCGTTTGGTTTAAAATGTAATTTATTGAGATTATGTATTTTTTATTTGCCTGTATTGTAGAATTGGGTGCTTCTTTGACTTTTAAAGTGAAAATATATCGATATGTACATGGACAAAGTGAAAGGAGTTCACAATGCAAGTTTGTGCAATTCTTGGATTTTTTTAAGTGAAAATAGGTTGACGTTTACATGGATAAAGTCAAGAGAGTGCACAATGGCATTTTTGTGCAATTTGGGGATTTTTTTTAAGTGAAAATTGGTCAATGTGTACATGGATACTGAGTTTGTGCAATTCTTTGTCTTGTCTTGTTATTTTGGATTTGTGTAGCCACCATTTTTGGTGCAAAAATCGCTGTTATGCAAGCCAAAATAATAAGTCAAAAGAATTGCACAAACTCGGTATTCATGTACCGCCATGTTTCGCCAACGGATACCCGAAAATATATGTTTGAGAAAAAAGAAAGCATAGGAACTTGCAGGTAATCATAGACAGGACTTAAAAAAAAAAACAAATGGAAACTTGGATTCGCATTACATATACAATAAAAATTCAAAAAGAGACTGTTTTACCGAGTATCAAAGGCGTATTCAAAACTACCTACGCCCAAGAGTTTTCTGCTCATACGAATAAGATTATCTAATAAAATTATTGCTTACCTATACTCAAACATGCTAAAACAGCTACTATTCGATATCTAATATCTCCTAAATTAATTCGCTTCCATAAACTACTTTTAGGCATTTCAACGACAGGTCCTTCAATTTTACTTACGTCTCTAAGGTTGGTGAATAATGTACCTGCATAAAAAACCCATACTGCTAACTGAGCTATACCAAATATAGAAATATATTTATATACACGAGTCTTTTCCAATGAATACAGTAGCACATCTTTCTTCAAATTACTTATTTTGTCAACAGGAAAATGAGTACTAGAAAAACTGTGGGTCAGCTGAATACGAGTGGGAAGTATTACTTTTAGCTTCTGACTAACTAAGGCATTAACAATAGAATACTTTGTTACGAATTTTATTTGGTAATTCAATACTTTGGAGCACATATTTTCTTATGTTTACATTGCCTAACGGACAGAAGCAGACTTGGGTCGGCGTTTAATTCCCGAACGCGCAGGAAGTCACGTGGTCGCGACTTGATGCGTAATAAAGCGGACCTCTTTCGGAAGCGGACATCACAACGAAGCTCTGCCCAGCGTCCACAATTTCGGTCAATTTGGTTCTATGAAAATACCTTGGCAGTTTCAAAAGGCTTCATTTAAAATTTGAAAGACTTCATTTAAAATTTGAGTGTATTTCACAAGATAAAATTTTTTTACTCAAATTTAGTGGGGGCGCAATGTATTTTTCAAAACTATTCAAAACAAACTTATATACACATTATAAGTTATGAACATGTAAAACTATTTAAAAGAATTCTCCAGTAGATCTTCTGGTTAAATGTACGACATGATAGTTCTTCCATCCAGAGACTAATTTGTATTTAAACCAGATTCCTTTTAGGTATGCAATAAAATAATACAAGATGCCACATTTATAAAAAAAAGGTTCGTAATTTTAAATTAATTAATTCTTCATTTCAATAATATATAAAGAAGAAAATGTTAGTTTCATTTTCTAATAAAAGGTAGAAATTAAAACACAAAACATTGATTATTGGGTGAAATGTATTGCAAATATTAACACAATTAATATTAAACTGAAATCTCACATATTTATCAGTGATTTAAAATAAACACAAGAGTGTATTGAAAAGATATACATGCTAAAATAGTAATATTTAAAGAACTGTAGTATTTTCAAGAAAATTTTCTCTACTTCTGAAACCCATATCGCACAAGCATATTTCAGTATATGTGCAGAAATTTAATGAGCCTAAAGGGCGTATTTTCTACGTATTTTGATGTCACGTGACCTCCCTGCGCGTTTGGGGATTTAGCGCCAACCGCATCCCAGCAGACGACAATTTTTTTAATACGTTATGATGGGAATGACGTCGTTTGAGTGCATAGATCGTTAGTTACCTGATAAATAATCAACGAAGCAAATTTTGTTCTAAATTAATACGATTTCTTCCGCTTTAGCAAAATACATTGCTTATTGCTCGCGGTTTTATGTTTGTTTAGCGGTTGTATTCAAATAACCATTCTTCAAAATCAGAAGTTCATGTAATCGTAATATAATATATATGATATAAATTGATAAAAACGCATGTACTAAATACATCAAGCTATTATTTTCGAAGTGTACCAGAGGATCATGGCATGCTTACATTACGCAAAAGATTAAACTGGTACGATGTGTTACTTATTTATAATTGCTTGTTTTTCCGCAAGATAGCCACAGCTAGTGCGAAGCGAAGCGTGAAAAAATTACTTTGCTCAAAATTTCTACTAAGCCACCGATTTACATCCATGCACAACGTGTGACAAATCGCTTAATATCTAGGCTTTCAACTTACATTTAGTTGTCTAGGCAAGAAATATGTCTAACAAATCATTCGTAAAAAGAAATATTTCAAGAGAGCTCATGCATATCCACGCAGTAGCGAAACCTCATGTGTGTGAGGTATGTAATCGATCATTTAAACTAAAAGGAACATTAAACAGACATATGCGTATTCACACGGCAGAGAAATCTCACGTGTGTGAAGTATGTAGCAAGTCTTTCATACAAAAGGATCATTTAAGCAAACATATGCTTATTCACACAAACGAGAAACCTCATGTGTGTAAGTTATGTAACAAGTCATTCAGACTTAAGGGTCATTTAAATGAACATGTGCTTCTTCACATAGGAGACAAGCTATATGTATGCGAGTTATGTAATAAATCATTTAGACATAAGAGTGTTTTAAATCAACATGTGCTTATTCATACGGGAGAGAAACCTCATGTATGTGAGGTATGTAACAAGCCATTTAGACGAAAAGATCAGTTAAGTAAGCATGTGCTTCTTCATACAGGAGAAAAGCCATATGTGTGTGAGGAATGTAACAAATCATTTAGGCATAAGAGTGCTTTAAATAAACATATGTTTATTCACACAGGAGAGAAACCTCATGTGTGCGAGATATGTAGCAAAGCATTTATACGAAAGGATCATTTCAACAAACATGTGCTTCTTCACACAGGGGAGAAACCTCATGTGTGTGCGGTATGTAACAAAACGTTTAGACTAAAGAGTAGTTTAAGCAAGCATATCCTTATTCACACAGAAGAGAAACCTCATGTGTGTGTGGTATGTAGCAAAACATTTAGACTAAAGTATCATTTAAACCAGCATATGCTTCTTCACACAGGAGAAAAACCTCATGTGTGTAAGGTATGTAAGAAAACATTTAGACGAAAGAGTAATTTAAGGAAGCATATGTTTCTTCATGCAGGAGACAAATTCGTAGGATAGGCAGCAAATTATTTAGACAAAAAAATGTGATCTAAACATGCATATGTTTATCACAGTAGAATGAATAGCTTATGTGTGTGAAGCATGTACATGTCATTTACACAATAATATGTAATTTGAACAAGCATATGCATGCTTATTACATATATATTCCTTACAAGTCATGCCTCACTTTCAAAACAATGGTGCAAATTAAAATTTTGACAGATTGAAGCCTAACAATTTTTTTTAATTCAGTAATTAATAAAGCCTAGTAAAATGATTCTCATGATAATATTGTTCTTGAGGAAAATAAGAAACTAATGAAGTTGTGCATTTTATCACCATTTTGGTAATTTTAATGATCCTATTCTGTAATTATGCCCAACAGATATTTGCAAAACACAGCTGTCATAGAAATATGAACTATGACAGATTATTTGGATGTATTATTTCATGGTAGTCATTGGGTAACTAAGAGACAGATGTAATATTCCTTGTTTTATATGATAATTTTTAGTATTTTAATTTTTTTATTATAACCATAAACTTTTCTGTATAAGTTATTTACAGTCTTGGAAGCCAAATATTTCTAAAGGTAAGAATTCTCAAAGCATTTAATGAAAAGAATTATATATATTTTTTTAATATGAGTGTTTCATATTGCATGTTTAAAATATTTTTTTGAACTCATTTGAAAAGCTTATAAATGTTACTGTCTATGTAAAAAGCAGGTTGTAGGGAGAATTTTGCTGATATTATCACTTAGTATAAGGTCTTAAAAAACAACTAAAAATTAAATCTGTTCATTTTTTTGGTCATTATTTGGTATATCAAGCATAGCTATTTAATGGTAAGCTTAATGCCTAAAATTAATGCACAGAATGTTTAAATATGCAGTTATGACTCATACATAATGCACATTTCATAATTTTCTTCAGAATTAATCTAAGAGATTCAATATAACCATTCTATGCTTCATTATGTTGTTAAATTAACATAGACTTGTTTGGATGTAAAAAATAATTGCAGGAATCTCTTTTCAACATCACTAATTCTAAAATACCTCTCTTTACTTAATAAGATGTGCCAGCAAAATTTATTGTAAACTTTCATGTCTCATTTTTTGTAAGTAGTGAAGGAATTTTCTTTTCCATTTAGTCTGACTACTATGTGTATGGATGAAGAATTTCTGCAGAATTAATCCTGCCTTTAATACTCAAAGTACTACATATAAGCGAGTATACAAGCATGTAAACTTATTTGTACAAAGTGTATGGTAGAACACAAATAAAAAATTGTCACCTGAATGAAATAACCACAATATTTCTACATATCTGAATAAGGTACAAATGTTTACAACATTTAATTCATTAAATGTTATATCCAAAGGAAAATGAATCGCATATACAAAAGATTCATTGTTAATTGCAGGTCATTTATATTTGTATAAACCAATTTCAATCTTTTTATTAGCATTTAACAAACATAGACAATAGTATTGAGCAACTTTTTGTACTGGGACCAGAGCAATTTAAGTGGAAATACATAAAATGATAATTCACACAATACAAAGTACTCATATTAACATCTGTTTTCATACTCAGATTAACAAGATAAATTTAACTGCAAATTACATGTAATTCATTATATAATGTAATTCTGTTACTAGTTATATTCTTAATTGATACTGATATACATACTACAGGAAAACACTGAAATTTTATGAAATAACCATATACCATATAAATGTGTTGCCATACAGAATTTTAAATACATATCTGAATACAAGTGCATGGATGAGAGGTATGTACAAATACAGTATTGAGTCTGAAATACGGATGTCCAATATCCAAAATGATTTAATATCTGGATTACCAATCCAATAAGTAAATAAGTAGATAGATAAAATAGTAAGAAAAATTATGGGTTACAGAGTGTAGTCTTTTTCTGCATTACAGCATCTAGGAATGAAGAATATAATACTGAATAAAAGAAAGCAGGTGCACCTTAAATAGGATTTTTCTTCTCATGCTAACTAGGGAGTGGGGCTGTAGCCAATGACAGTGAATTAACTGACATATTGATGACCATCAAGATCACAGTTTCAGCCCCTGAGTAGATTTTTTATCTGACCTAAAAAATAAGTCCCAATGTATCCTTGGCTATACATCACTTAACTAGATTTAAACTGATGATAAAAAACCCGCAGTCTCGGAAGTAATGACAATTCTAGATCTCAGACTTTGTACTGTACCCAAATTTGCATTTAATTTGTATTTTTATCAGATAAAATTCATTTTTTTAATATACACGATGACTGTATACTGCTTTGTTCTTTAAAATATCCATCTCAAGGTGAAATTTCCTTTTTTTTTTTTTCCCCTTACTTATCAGTAACTTGCTAATTATCCTGTCGTTAACTCTCTCTCTTCTTTTTTCCTCTCACATCTATGGTAACATTTGCTTTGGTAAGATTTCAGTGATGTGTGAGGACAGTTAAAATATATTCGTAAAATAACACAATATCGTATATAGAGATAAGTTACTAGTGTGTATTGAATATCAAAAAATGTTGTTTTGTATGGGTAATATACTGAAATAACTGAGCAAATGAGCATAAATGCTAACATAAATGTAAATATTTACAATAGCATATATTTATGTACTATAATTTATAGCATAGAATTATTCACAATACAGTCAAAAGTCGTTAATTCGGACACCCATAATCCGGAATTCTATAATCCGGACCTCAAAGCTAAAAACTTTCTGCGCATGCGCACAGGCGTTTTACGCGTGCGCATAAGACCTTGACTACTGCGCATATGCGTGTGCGCAAGTGCAGAATACGTTTTCGCCTGCGCGTTTAATGTATAACGGACGGTGTAAGCTAAAATTATCTAATTATCTATTTCAGTTAATGTTAATGATTGCATTGTTTCTTAATCTTCGAATTGGATCCCGCTTATTATTTTTTGCCGACTGTAAGAGCAATTTTATAAAAGTAAACTTGAACTTTCGATTATGTCAAATAGAATTTCCGATGCTGGAACTTCCAAAGGATCTACAAAACGAAAGTATGTTTCGATGTCCAACAAACAAAAAGTGGTATTGCTGCAAAAAATGGATAAAGACATGAAGAATGTGACAGAGAGGTTAGTGAAAACGAAAAAATTTCGATTGAAAAGTTAGTCGGTATTCTCGGCACAGCAATTAACGGAACTTGAACAGCGGAACTTTGTAACTGAACAAGAAATTATGTCTGTTTATGGAATTAAAGAGAAAGTATGATCACATAAAACAAAGCAACATGGTACTTTTCCGTTTGGAAGGCGCAAATCTCGACAAGAAGACTTTGTTGGCGACAACATACAGTATACACATAAAAAATTTTAACAAACGTTAGTTCTAAGAATTTTTTATTTTGAAGGCATAAACATTTTAATATGGTTTAAATTTTGTAAAAAGCCAATAAATTTGTAAAAAGGCATTGAAAATTTACTATGCTTTCATGGTTCAACATCCTCATTCGCCGGTTCGTATCACATGACCCCACGTGATCTCATCTCACGTAAACTATGATACAAAAATCTAATTCCCTCGGTAATTATCTACATTAATTTCAAGTTAAATCTTAATTTGGAAGTTTAAATGCAAGAATTACTTCAATTCGTACGAATAGCTACTCAGAAATTATGTAAAACCGCAGTGCTTTACTTCGCTAGTGCATTCTCATTAGAACTGATGAGTTTTAACCCTTAATTTTGCCTTTTCTATATTTTCGCCTTCGGATGAGCGGTGTGATTGCATTCTAATTGATAATTACCGCGAATGGTCTTAGGGCATAAAATTTAACTATCTTGTAAAAATTCTATGTAATTGTATGCCAGTATTGAAAGAAAGAATCAATCTGATAAGAAATGGCTGCGACTTGTTTTGAAACTGAGGCGTAAAAGGTTACCAGCGAAGATATTCCGTTTGGCATCAGTTGTACCATTGTTGGCAACTTTATCGTCTGCGCCGGCAAAACGGAAAAGTACCAGCAACTTAAACAACTTACATTGAAAGAAATGTTTAATAAATTAACCAAATAAATATTAAGCTTTTTTTTTTTTTTGGTAAATTTTGATACCCTTTAGATTATAATTGTTCTTTATTTCATTTTCATTCATACGGTTTCATATTTTTAATTTTAGAATTTCTGCATGCCATATTACGAGATTTAAACTGATGATCTGTAATCCGGAAAAATCGATAATCCGGAATCGCCGAAGTCCCAACGAGTCCGGATTAACGACTTTTGACTGTAATATAATTTCTTTATTCATCATTTTTGTATGTAATCAATCGTAATATTTTCATAGATTAATACTAATCTGTACTAAATACAATTGTGCACAAGGAAATAACACTTCTGTTTATGCATCTATGAAAAGAAGTACATTTGATGGAGTTGTATACATATATTTATACCTGGTAAAACACGAAAAATTTTTCTCTTTAATAAAATGGAAACTTCATCGCATTTAGTACAATTAGAAATTTGAATATGTACTGAAATGTTTCCGAATTAGTAGTGATTTCCTGCTGCTTTGTTCATAATTGCCACGCAAAGAGGATTTAAATACATGTGGAGCTACAAGTTTTTAAAGTATTTTTGCTTATGTACTCAATAGGTTAATTTTTAAAGAAGGAGAGAAAATGGATGGAATCTTATCCACTAGCAGATAATGTGTGATAAGCAATTTTCTATATTTTCTGATTATCCACTTAACCTTCCCAAAATATAGCTTATTGTTGGGGATTAATTTTTCGTAAATTTAAAACAAAAAAGAGCTGTTTTGAATAATAACAGCCCACTGAGAATTACATAAAATAGCAACCAGTCAACAAAATTAAAAAAAAAAAAAAAGTAGTCATAAGAAAACACATATTTGCTTTTTTTCTGGTGTTCTCCTCATGTATACACAGTAATCTGTTTTAGAGAGAAAAAATCAGAGAATTTCAGAAATTTGGCATTGCATGCACTTTCGTTTCTCCTTTTACACAGTAATCTGTTTTCACTTAAATAATTAACAGAGAATCATATAAAGTTGGCCATTGCAGTTTTTGTTATTTTATCATGCATGTAGCATTCTTTCTGTAGAAAATTGTTTGACATTCTTTGTTCTATAATGAAAAAGATCCAAAAGAAGCTGTGAAAAAATAGAGATATAAGGTAGAAATAAAAAGGATCTTTTAGATTATATGAAAATAATGCTTCAAACAATTTTCCTTATAAAGCTACGTGTGCCGTCTTTCACCAAGAAAACATTCATGAAGTTATTTTGACTGCGCTAAAATATTTCTCAAAATAAATATGTATGTAAAAGAAGTTACTTCTTTTATGAAAAGGAACTAAATGTATCATCACATTAAAAACTTTTCTTTTTTTGTTGAAAACGTGAATAATGTTATAAGAGATAAGGACAGCACACAGAACCTAACAGTTGACATTATATTTTCCTATAACATTTTTTTTTTTTTTTTTTTTTTTTTTTTTTTTTGGTGTATGTGATTAAGGCAAAGGAGATGAGGCATATCTGTTGAAGAGGAGAAATATGCTTATGGAGGAAATTTCTAAGTAAAATTGTCTCATATCCACTTTACCCATGGGAAAAATTACAAAATGCTCATGCAGCCAGTATTCGAATTCAGATAAAACTGCCAGTATTGAGTGACTGTACCACTCAACCACTGGTGGCTGCTGCTCAGTAAGGAACACGATCAGATAAAAATCGCTTCTTTTGAAAAGAGTCTGGAGTAGTATCTAGGAATTCTACAGTGCTCGTAATAAAGCAGAATTTTGTATGGTATAAACGGCTTATCAGGTTGTGTCGGCCAATATTCAAATAGTTGATTGGGATTGTAGTGCAAACAATACTATATTTTTAAATGTGTTTCTTTATATAACTGAAAATATTTTTGTTTATTCAAGTAAATTTTTATATAGTTAAGTCAAAACTGAATATTAAATTAATACTTAAAATCAGGGTTCGTACGGTCCTTAAAAGTCCTTAATTTTTTCAAAAATGATTTTTGGTCCTTAAAAGTCCTTAATTTTGGCCAAAATGAATAAACGGTCCTTAATTTTGCTCATTTTACATTTCTTATCATTTCTAATGATTGCCATTCTATGTGTGAATTGCGATTTCTCGTGAATATGGAATTAAAATTGCGAGGCTCTTAACCAATCTGTTGACGGATTTGCGTTGCAAACGATAAAAAAAAAAAAAAAAAAAAACAATTAGCTACCCGAACGAAAGTA